CTGGGGAAGAGGAAAGGTTTGGCATGAGGCCAGCAACCCCATCCTGTTAAATAAACACTGTGCTACAGAAACTTCAAGCCACTAGCTTGAAGTTCTATCTTCCACTGCGGAACGTGTGTCCGCAACTGCAGGTGAACTTGTAGATACAGTTTGAAGTAGAGTGCACAGAATTTCGTCCTTTAATCGTAGATAGTAGTTACAGGGATCGGAAATGTTTGGCAAGTGAGGGAAAGAGATGCGGCGTAGAATGTGCGTCTGATCACTACTTTATTTTCGAAATTTAAATGTGAACAAACCAATTACCTACACGAGTTAATATATATTTCATAGCTTGTAAACTTTTGACCCTTAAATAACTGGTTTGAAAAAATTCTCAGACAACTTATTGAGATGGCTGACGTGAAATCAGTACTTTCAAAGTACACAGTTGCAAACATATGAGGCTTATGCTTACATTCTAAGCCGTACTGCTAGTTTGTACTGAAGTTAACCTGTCTGTAAATGGCAGCAATAGGCCTTTCGACTTCAAGTAGACAGGGTTCTAATACATACATACATGCTTACATTCATATATAACTCGCATATAACTCAAGAAAGCGTTTACTTGTTAAGAGATTAGCGCAACTAAACATTGCAATTTATTACTTCTACAGTTTCACTTTATCATCAAGTCATCATGGAGTGCATTGGACTTCGATTCCATAATAGAATAATGGTAACCTGTCTAGACACCTAGACATTGATGCTGCTGAATACAACAACAACAACTTCAACAATTTAATGAGTTTACAATCAAGGAATAAATAACACACTCCTGCGTCTTTTGTCACTGTCAAGTGTAATATTTCTCGAAGAAATCAATCAACAGCATCAGAATTCCACTAATACATCCGAAATGATGATTACTATTCGATTTGTTTCATTTGACGCCATGATTGATTGAATCATTCCGAGAAGGGTGATATGAAATAGTCATAAAATTCAATTTTTCAAGATTTTAAGATATTTACGGACATTCGGAGTTTGTAATGAAAAAAGCACCGGTCTACTGATTATGCAATAACTGTTTTCTATATATTTTATTTCTCTGTCAAGTACCTTTATTTTTGTACTACAATTGACAGAGATAATAATGAAAGCCACACATTTGTACTTATTTAATGCATCTATATTTGGTAGAAGTTATTTATCAAAATTTATGCATTTTATAGATAAAATATACTTTGACTAGCAAATCTCTTCTTTTTTATGTAATTGTGATGCACCTATTTATTTATTTATTTATCTTCCTTATGTTTTTACATAATATATATGCTATTACATTTTGGCTTTTATAACACCGCTCTTATTTTAGACATTTTGGATTTATGGGAACAAGATCTCTTGCGACGTCCAGTGTTAAATGGGCTCGTATATACACATACATATAAAGATGTGTGGAAATTTTACTTCTCGAAATAACACTTTTTGATTTCGTTTCAAAAATTTCATGCAACCAGTTCCCTTTATTAGTTTGAAGAGAGAAAGAACGAACATGTTTGCAGGATAATACGAGCTCGTTTTATTTCGTGGATACTCATCAACTGCACACATCCTAAACAAAATTTGATGTAGGTAGACAGATTATTCGGTGTCAAAAACAACTAATTATATATAGTGGAATTAGATAAGAGGGGTAAGAGTTCAGATTTCTATTGGAAAACACAGATTGGTTAGAGGCATATTACAGAGTCAGGGTCAGAGAACAGAGTGAATTTACACATGTGGTGGAGAGTTTAAGAGGGTGTGGGTGAATAGTGAAGTAACATTTTTAACTTAAACAGACAAACAATGAATTAGACTTAGAACCTTGAAGGTCAAAATTGAATAGAATGTTACGTAACAAGACAAACACACAGGCATACTGACAGAAAGGCAAAACAAAAATAAAATAAAATGGAGTTAGGGTTACCAAGGTAGTGAAAGATTAATCACACTATCTTTCTGTAAACAGAGGTCTGATCGAAATCTCTTGATAGCAATGGCTTCTGCGAAGCGAAGTAGCCATGGGTTTCTTGCGTATTGATTGTTTTGAAGGCTTGGCTAATTTCTACTGTGTGTCCTGTGTCAATTAAATGTCTGGGGATTGCACTCGATAACACTTTTCTTCCTAACTCTATTTTATTTTTATTTTGCCTTTCTGTCAGTATGCCTGTGTGTTTGTCTTGTTGCGCAACATTCTATTCAATTTTGACCTTCAAGGTTCTAAGTCTAATTCATTGTTTGTCTGTTTAAGTTAAAAATGTTACTTCACTATTCACCCCCACCCTCTTAAACTCTCCACCACAAGATGTGTAAATTCACTCTGTTCTCTGACCCTGACCCTGTAATATGCCTCTAACCAATCTGTGTTTTCCAATAGAAATCTGAACTCTTACCCCTCTTATCTAATTCCACTATATATAATTAGTTGTTTTTGATACCGAATAATCTGTCTACCTACATCAAATTCTGGAATTATGTTCCTTATAACTCAAAGTAATTATGAAAAAGTATGTTCCACAACTTTCTTGAAACTTATAATTTGATTTTGTTTAGGATGTATGCAGTTGATGAGTATCCACGAAATAAAACGAGCTCGTATTATCCTGCAAACATGTTCGTTCTTTCTCTCTTCAAACTTTCTGATGTGGTTGTGTTCTCTGAGCTAGATGGATGGTTTATTTGCGAAGTTTTCATTGCCCTCTACTAGGCGAATTCTTCAGTTCATACTTTAATTTCGATTGGAGTGAGCTTTTAGATTTCTCCACGAGTTAGTTTATTAGTCATCTCTCGCGGTGAATGGTGACCTTGAACGTCGTCATTGGTTGTTTTGTGTGTTTTTACACTCTCTAGGCTACTTGTGTTGTTATTGGTACTGATTTTTTCCTTGACCTGAAGTTTAACCCTTTGTGTGAAATTTCCTTCTCATCGATTGGTAAATTTTGTCTATGTCAATGTGTCTATTAATAGACGATTCACTGAAATACCAGGCAGGCTTCTAAAAATTCTCTAGCATTCTCGGTGTTTCCTCTGTCTAATATTTGAACGTTGTCCCAGTCGAAGTGATGTCCGTGGTTGTCTGTATGCAGTGTGGCGATATGAGGGAGTGGATGTCATGTCTTTTGACAGCTAGTTTACGCTCATGGCTGCGAAGACGAAGGGGACGTCCACTTTGATCAGTCTCACACACAAAGGGTCAACGTTCAATTCAAGGAAACAATCAGTACCAATAGCACAAGTAGCCTAGAAGGTGTGAAAACACACAAAACAACCAATGACGACGTTCAAGGTCACCAACCAGGAGAGATGACTAATAAACTAACTCGTGGAGAAATCTAAAATCTCACTCCAATTCAAACTGAAGTATGAGCTGAAGATGTTGCCTAGTTGGGCAATGGAAGCTTCGCAAATAAACCACCCATCTAGCTCAGAGAAAACAACCACATCAGAATCATCCACCTTAGCTACAAATCTTCTCCATCATATCTAGAGATAACACTGCACTACAGTCACTGTTTCACTTCAATGACACTAGCAAACACTGTGTACTTACTTACATACTTAGTTTATGGACAGATTTCAGTCAATTTCAAAAGGTTGGAAGGCCTTTTTTCGACACTATCGTTTCTCTATGATGGCAAACATGCTTAGTTGGCGAGTACCAGAAAGAAAGAGACCTGAATCAACCAATATTTCTTTGGAATAAACATTTCACAATGCTCATCAGTCGTTTTCACACAGTGTCGACCGATGCTTTTAGGATGCTTCCTTCTGTTATTTTGATAGCCGGTCATTAGTGTACAATACATGAATTACTTTATTCACGTTGTGGAAGAATGTAGATATGATAGAGAAGATTTGTAGCTCAGGTGGATGATTTTGGTGTGGTTGTGTTCTCTGAGCTCAGTGGAAGAATTTTTAATGAAAAAAACTTGTTACTTTTCGAAAAGAGATGGTTAGAGGCAACAGAAAGTAGGACAGTATTTTACCTAACTGACTAACCATCACTGATAAGTACCAATCAACTTTATAATGATTTAGTGAAACAAGGTTGTGGCAATAAAGAAAGTCAACTAAACCTCCATAAAATTGACGAACAGCTTAGAGGTTACTTAGATATTTTGTCAAAGTAAAACAGGAGAATGCTCGCCAACTTCATATGTGTGGTCCAGAGTTCAATCTCTGGCGGATCTACTTCTATACCTCACTAAGCTGATAGTGATCCAATGTATTGGTGGACAATCATGCGTGAGGTTAGCCATTCCATCCAGCAAAAAATGAAAACAACTGCTATTGAAACTTAGAAGCCCAAGCTTGATGCTTTATGTTCGACGGATTGATATCACTTAGAGAACCATTGAAAACCAGCTGGCAATACTGGACAGCTGTTTCATCAGCCTAGTTTGGGAGCCATCGGCAGTATGTACCCAACAAGACAAGTTAGAATTCATGGGCCATTGAATCTGGTCCCACTGGCTGGCTTAATGGTAAACGAGTTTGCCTTGTAACCGGAAGGTCCAGGGTTCCAACTCCAGTGGATGGATGCGTACTGCCGATAATTCCCTAGACCAGTACTCCAGTGCTTGCTTTCAATGGTTCCCTAACTGATATCAATCTGTGCTCAAACTCGTAAAAACAAATCTAATCCTTACAAACCAACTCTTGAAAACAGTTAGACATACATATTAGTTGTGGTCGTCTATGTCAATGTCAACTTAAATAGTTTCATGACGAAGCCAATAATTTCGTCACTAAGTGGTGTAGAATCTAGTCTCAAAGGAAGTAGAAGTATCCTCAGGCATGATGTTCCTTCCAGTCGACCCCTGAGAACTTGATGTGATATCTCTAGTTATTGAAGTTTAAACAACTAATTTATTAACTTTTCCATGTAAATCTTTTATTTATCATCTTATCTACTAAACGGATTTATTATTATTATTATTATACCTTTACAATGTTTTCTTTTTCGTTGAATTCAGCCAATGCGTAATTCAGTTTGCATGGATGGTGCTGACTCCACTGGTCCACCACAGTTTGTAGTTCATCCTGTTGGTCAACTGACTGTAGCCGAAGGTGAACCAACAAGTATAAGCGCTCGTGTTCGACCAGCAGGCGATAGTTCATTAACTGTTGAATGGTATAGAAATGGCAAACCACTACCAGCTGGTAAGGGGATAATTTTAACTCTACGATAAAGAAAAAAATAATAATACTTTTTTTTATTTTCACAATATTTCTATCCAAAAATTAGATAATCAGATCACTTTAGCTACCTAGTATGGAATGTTCTTATATTTTGGACAACTTCATGTGTAGGACAAAAACAAGTTACATAATCTTTGAAGCGTATTTTTTGTATTTATTGTCTTTTATTTTGTGCGTACAAGTTATCTAAAGAAATATTCATGTTTATCAAATATGATGTAACCGATTATTAGCTTAAATCTGCCAGTAATGGCTTAAAAGTCGTTTATAAATTTAGGCATTCAACTGGGCAGGTACACTGGGCAGGTACACATGAATATTCAATATTTAAATAGGCTAAATGTTTTAGAGTAACACTTTACTGAGAGAAGATGTTTAACTGGTTTTCAGATTCTCTCTGTAGAAGATTAGAAAAAAAGGTTGTTTTAACGGGCAAAACACAACACTAGCGACTAGCCCTATTCAGGTAGGTAGTTACGTCGGTTCTATTTTGAGGAATCGTGTCTAGCAGGGCACAACAGGCCGGGTGTGAGGACGAATACTCGCCAGCAATAACACTGGTGAGTGCCAGTCACGCCATATCGTGAATTCAAGTGTTGGTTTGTAAGGACTTGATGGATTTGTTACAGGAGTTCATCACTGATAAGCTGACACCAGTTAGAGAACCACTGGAAAATCCAGGAGTACTGGACAGCTGTTTCGTCCTGGTTTAGGACTCCTCAACAGTACGCACCCAGAACCATCTGGTTATAAAGCGAGCTCGTAAACCATTAACTCACTGGGACCCAATCCAATGACCAGTCGATGAATTCCAACTTCTGCTAATAATTCACGACACAGCACGACCACTAGCCAATGACTTTGGCGAGTATTTATCCTTACACCCGTGGATTATTGCCAGAAGTTGAAATTAAACGACTGAACATTGGATCAGGTCCCAGGAGCTTAATGGTCCACAAACTCAACGTGTAACAGGAAGATGCTGGGTTTGAACCCCCTGTGGCGGGTGCGTACTGATGAAGCAGAGTCCTAAACTAGGCTGACAAAACAGCTAGCTGTCGAGTACTCCGTTGCTGGTTTTCCAAGTGTTCTCTAACTGATGTCAGCCTATGGTGAAATCCTGTAATTTATAATCTTGCCACTGTCTACCTAAGTGCTGGGTTTATTTTGGTCTCAGTCATCATTTAATCAATAAACATACTAACTGACTCTAGAAGTGTTCCGAGTCATAACAATCCGGGTAAATAAGTAAATGACTTGAGGTTTTCCGACAGTTCTGCCACAGAATACACCTTCTGTTGGATTTATAGAGGTAAATAAAGATATCATTGATAGCGCTTTTAGATGAGAAGGTTGTATTCCTTTTGGAATGTTGTGGGTAATTCTAAAAGTTAAGGAACCATTGAACACCAGAAAGTACCACACACAGTTATAAATTTTTGCTTTACATATTTTTCCCTTCACAACTTGTAACAAAATCGATAAATTATTTAAATATTATCCCACTATTCAATAATAACTAGCTTCAAGACGAATTTCATGAATTTCTAATGAAAAGTTCTGACCGGTGAGCTCCTTAAAGTCAGACTTCGAGGTGGATTGGATGCGATGAATTTCTCAGTGAAACTAGAGAAGAAACATAAGTTATTATCAAAGCTTAAAAGTGCCAGTGCCTCGGTGGCACAGCGGTTAGGACACTCGCCGTGCATGCACATGGTCCGGAGTTCGATCCCCGACCACAGATGCACTCCTTTACCTCACCAAACCAGTAATAAAGCTGGTAAAGAGGAAAGATTGGGCATGGGGCTAGCAACTCCACCCTGTAAAAATAAACACTGCTACAGAAGCTTCAAGTCTCCAGTTTGAAACCCTATGTTCCACTTGGAACGTGAAGGAATAAAAAGAAAGATTGAAAGTATTTAGGTGGGTGTGAGATATTTGAAAGCAATTCAATTTATTCATCACCGCAATGAAAGTGATTGACTTGGGAAACTTCAATTCTCTACCAGTTTTGTTCACTGAACATTTGGTGGGCGTCCTTAAGAACTTGTTGACCATAGTGTATACTTAAGCAATGAAATTTAAGTCAGTACTCAGAAACAAAGAATATAAAATCAGTTACTCCGCCGTGATCACTCGGTACGTTTCTGACATCTCAGTAAAAATGTACGATGTCTTTCCCAGCACTAAAAATATCCATCTACAAATTATTAAACCTATATAACTAGAGTACAATTGATTGTTTTAACAAATCCTGTGTTTTTGAAACTGTATATTCCTTCTGAAATATTCAGCCTCTCGCTTCACGACAACTTTTGATCGAGGTTATGCAGTGCTTGATTTTCTATACACAAATGAAGAAGACAATGGCGATTATTCTTGTGTTGCAACTAACAGTCAAGGCCAAGATCAATCAAGCAGTTGTCATGTCACGTAAGCTATTCGAATTGACTTTGTTGGTGTGTGTGTGTGTATGCGTGTGTGCGTGCACAGGTATCATTCATTGTGTTAGCATGTTAGTTGTTAAATCGTATCTTCTGTGATCTTTATATGATTCACTGCACCTGTTTCAGGTGTGGATCACAACATTCAAGTGGTCTTTTGCTTTACTGTCAGATTTCAACTAACACTTGACTAGCTAACAGGGAATAATGTCGTCGACTTAGAATATGCGGACGATATAGTCCTTGCAGGCGAGGACGCTGACAAACTGCAGAGTCTACTGAACACCTTGAACAACAATCTTCGTATGTTTAGCATGCGAGTCGCCCCTGTAAAATGTAAGATGATGCTGCAGGATTAGACTACACCGACCCCTAGATTAGAAATAGGAAGTGAAGTGGTAGAGCACGTTGACCGCTTCACTTAGGGTGTATGTACTGCTCAACAGTCCGCTCCGTCCTCCTTTATGGCTGTGAGACCTGGCCATTGAGAGCAGAATACATGAAAAGATTAGCTGTCTTCGATCATGGGTGTCTGCGTTCTATCTCCCGCATGAAGTGGTATAATAGAGTGAGCAATATTGAGGTTAGGCGTCGAGTGATAGTTAAAACGGGGAAATCAGTCGACGACACTATGAAATTACATCGACTGAGATGGTTAGGACATGTGTTACGTATGCCTAGTCATCGCCTACCTCGAATGACGGGCAATGTTAGCTGATATAGGGTCAGGCTAAAAAGGAGCTAGCGGTTGTCAAACCAAAACATGCCTTCACCAGTCAATGAAATCCACAACAGTTAGTCTAAGCCACGTAGGAAGGTGTAGACTGGCTTCCTGGTTGGGGTCCTCGGGACGGTAAAAACCAATGCTGTGGAACAATTGGTGACATGGCTCAAAATCGTTCTCAGTGGCTGGTGCAGATGCATCCACTCCTTGTGACTTATGATTTCCAATTAAACTGTTTTGTTCTTCGTTATTACTATTCCTTTGTCTCACACCTCTGTTTACTGTCTATACTATGCATTTCTCCTACTTTCTTCTCTTGCTTTGTGTGCTACAAGGAGGGAGTGTGGCGACTTGAAGTGCCGCACATATGTGCAAAGTTCTACGTTGAAAACCGACGGACCGACCTTGACTAGCTTTGGTTTTTCCCCCGCTTCTAAGTACTAAACGCCTCAGATAATTCGAAACGCCATAGAAATCCAATAACCCTCCTTGAGAAAATGTTTGTATAGCATATAGCTTCAACATTTATCTGGGCGCCAACTTCAACGGTGTAAAGAAAATATATTTGAGTCCACTGTTTCGAAAAATCACTTTTACTGGAATGAGAAGTTGGTACTATGCAGGATCAAAAATTTATCCTCACTCCATACTTTAAAGAATTCTGAATACTTCAGTAAAGTAATGTGCCTAGACAGTGTTGAATTCAGTAGAAATGACATGAAAGTCAAAACGTTTTGTAGAACCGATGCACTAAGAAAATTGGGCTCATTCGTATATCAAGAAAGCTTAAACCAACTTTTTAGAAATAAAACCAACGCTCATTTCATATCATTATTATCAGTTCTTAGCATTCTGAATGGAATATTTCTATTGCACTCAGTTCTCTATCATCGATTTCTGAAGCCTACTGGGCTTGAGTTGCATCATCCCCAACGGGTTGATCGCTGACAAAATCTCAGCATAGATACAGAAGTCTCGTTTCGCATATGCCAGTTTACTCCTTCTCTGGCTTAGTTTACTTGACATCCGGCTGGCTATCGACCAAAGGACGTGTATACTATTCAGCAGTCCACTCCGTCCTCGTTTATGGCCAGCTGTGAGACATGACTGTTGAGATTAGAGGACATGAAGGGCTAGCTGTCTTTGATCATAGGTGCCTGCGTTCTATCTCCCGTGTGAAATGGTATACTAGGGTGAGCATTACTGAGGTTAGGCTTCGGTCGAGTGCTAGGTAGGGAGGAGAAATCAATAGATGAGGCTGTGAAGTTACATTGATTGAGATAGTTAGGACATGTGTTATGCATACCTAGCCATCACATTCCTCAACGGGCAATGTTAGATGACATAGGGTCAGGTTGGCAAACAGCCAGTCGTGGTCAGACCAAGACATGGATTTATCATTCAATGAAATCCAGCTACGTAGGGAGGTGTAGACTGGCTTCTTGGTTGAGGTCCTCGCGATGGTGAAAACCAATGACGGCTATAGACAATTGGTGATATGGATCAGAATCGTTCTCAATGGTTGGTGCAGAAGCATCCACTCCTTGTGACTTATAATGTCCAATAAAACTATATTATTCTTCGATTTACTATTCTTTTTGCCTCATATTTCTGTCTCTATTTTGCGTTTCTCTTTACTTCCTTCTCTTGCTTTGTGTGCTGAGTGAAGTGTTGCGACTTTAATTGCTGCACATCGGTGCAAAGTTCTATGTTGAAACCAGTCAGTCAGTCAGAAGCCTACTGGAGATGCTTTTGATGATATGCTAAGTATATGAACTATAGAAAAGGACAGACTGAACACTGATGTTGAAATTTCGTACTTAATCATCTCTATAAATGCAATGGATCTCCACGCTAACTTTATTTCAGTTTGAGTTTTCTCTTGAAGTTTTTTCTACATGACTTACCATCTTCAAATGACATTAATTTTGTCAAATATGCTGACGATCTGACTGTATCTTTGCCTGTCAAGTGTCAAAGTGACTGCTCCAAACTAATTGACTTTTTATCAGAAATCAGCCAGTGGTCCAAGGAAAACGGTCTTACCTTAAACCCCTCCAAATACCAAACAGTCAATTTCACCTTTAGGCATAAATCCGACCTAAACAAACTGGTTGGCTCTCACGAGGTGTGCAACATAGATGGCACTGAAATAGAAACCAAGTCGGAAATTAAATACCTAGGCGTCATTCTATCTGCTGATCTCTCCTGGTCGTCTCATATCTTGGCGATTTCTAAGAAAATATTCCGTCTTACCTTCTACATCAAGAAGTTAAGACATTCTGGTATAACCCAACCCTTACTCCTACAATTCGTTAATTCTCGCATTCTGCCTATTATTCTCTATTGTTCCCCCTTAGTTTTTCCCGGGCTACTGAAGAAAGACTATAACATATTACGCAGGATGTTAAAGGTTGTCAGCAGGGTAAGCAACGTGCCACTTAACCAGCTTGTTAATATTCTGGTTGACAGGCACATGGACTCATGTGAAAAATGGGCCAAATCCATTTTATCTAACTCACACCACCCTCTTCACTCACAACTCTCCCCTTGCATCTCATCAGGCAAAACCAGAAGCCTATATAGAAAACTATATGCTCGCACCAGCAAGTACAAAAACTCAACCATACCCTACTTAGCTCGTGTTCTGTGTGATAAAGAAAGCATTAGGCGTGACACCTATAATTCATTAAATAGTCAGTAGAACAACTGGACCTCGTCTTTCCAACTCATATCATTTATAGGTACAACATTTTCTTTCTTTCTTTTCCTTTTCTCTCTCTTTTTCTTTTTTCCGTTATGTGCTGCTTTGTTTCTTTCTCTCGCTTACGCCAGTAAATATGACAGCTCCTACTTTTCTAACACCTTCAAACACTGTTCAACTTTGGCTTTGCTACCGACATGCCAATATGTTGTTGTCATAATGAACTGAGATTTCCTTAATCTATGTAGAATTCTATTTATTGATAATGTACTAACTGGATGCAATACTGTAGTAAAAATGCTGAGAATTCCATTCTGTATCACAAGTACTGTTTTGGAATAAAGCAAATTATTATTATTATTATTAAACTGTGACCATAATTGGTGGGTCCTTGAAGTTTTTGCCTGCCTGAAATGAAAGAGTTTAGTACTTCGTATTCGTTCATTATGTAACTTTACTACTGTATCAATAGTATGAGTCTACTATTTGAAATATATTTTTCTCTTTCACTATTCAGTATTATACCAGAGGATCGTGTTGTCACTGACACCCAATTGCCTGAAGAATCAATGATTGCAAATCTTGCTATGATGGAAGATCATTTAGTTCAGAATGGAATCAATCGATCAACTCGTTATCATGATGATGTTCGTCCAACAAATCCACCAAACTTTTTAAAACCACTTGCACCACAGATTGGTCTTCAAGAATCAGCTCCTGCACATTTCGAGACAATTGTAGAACCTTCCAATGATCCTTCATTGATAGTTGAATGGTATAAAGATGGAAAACCAGTTAGCATGGGTAAGGATTGCTAAACGATATTCTTTTTTTTTGAAATGAACTTTCATACTACATACAGATTATCACAATAAAAATTGCTTTCAGATAAAGCAATAAGAAGATGTAATTTGTCTGAATCTTGTAGTGTTGTATTTGCGCAACACATTTTGAACAATCTGATCACACACGGACTTGTCATAGGAATATATATGTGTGAAATTAATAAAGAGTTAAGAGGTGAGAAAATACACAAGTTAGGTCAAGTTAAAAGGATATATTCAAGGTCAAAATAACAATGAAGACCAATAAACCAAATAGCAGAGATAATAGTTCATCTGTTATGGTATCAAAACAAAATTTACCAAGGAAGGTTCAATGTGATGACGAATTCTTGCTTTGAACGTATAAAGGTGGTTTAAACTTTCTAATTGCTAGCTAGGGTTTCCACAAACTTTAGGATACGCCCCAAGCACGTTTCATAGATAGGTTTAGAAGATGTGTTAACGTCAATTCTATGTCCTGTCCCTATAATATGTTTCGCAATAGAGGAGCTAGGTCTCCAGTTCTCACCATTAATGGGTTCTGAAGATTCCATTTGTTTCTGAAACCATTTAGGAATATGCTCTGTAGCAGTGGTGCTAAGCAGAAGTCCCAGTCATACTGACATGAGAAGAAGCTAAAAAGTATTAGCAACGACATTAATGTCTACTGCATAAGTCAACCCTAAAATAAAGGTAGATTTTTTAATGAATTGGCTAATACAACAAAAGCAACAATTTGAAGTAGATTGGTGTATAGTGACTAGCAGCGGAATCTAGGCTGTTCATCTTGTCCTAATCAGGCTCGTCATCTGGATGTGCCTGCATTCCCCAGGGAGTGATATTGTTCCCAATGAGGCTTGAGCCTGTTACACATACTTTAACAACTGGACCTGTTTGGACCACAACAGCTACCTCTTGTACAGCCGGTACCCTCAGGTATTATTATTCAATTCAATTTGAACTTTATTATTGATTAGTAATAATAATAATAACAATAATAGTAATCTACTTTATTCCAAAAACAGTACTTATAATACGGAATGGAATTCTCAGCATTTGTCACAATATTATATCTGATTTACTCAAAATATAAATAAAATTACAACAAAATTAACCAGAGGAATTTGCCCACGTTTACGATATAAAGTCAAAAACAGTCGAAGTACGAATTGAGAATAATAGTAATAATGGTAATAATAATGATAATAACAGTGAGTTTGTTTCAAACGGTATTGTCGATTCAGTTTGGAAATTTTAGCATGTTATAGAGGCAATGAGTCTAATGTTATGTTGATATAGCAGCATGGTGAGGGACAATACAAAATTAACAGTTATGGTACAGCTTAAATGATGTTCGCACTCATAAAAAAAAACAAATAAAAAAACAAAAACTTGGGAGGGTTACAAACATGAGAAGTACAATAACAAAGAAGGTTGATATTGTAAGGGTGGAGGAAATGGTTTATTTAGTAGTGCAAAGAAGGTTAGTCGGTTAGTTCATCCTTGACATTATTTTCATTATATAAAGTACGTGCTAAATATGGTATATTGGAATTTTTATACTTAGACGTACGTGCATAAAGTCTTCTGAAAAGACTTCTTGTTTTACCTGAGGACATGAGACAAGGTTGCAGCTGCGGGTAAAGTGGATGCTTACAGTCTGACAAAATTCCTTTAGCGAATTTGTTGCATGAAATCAAGTGCCTATCGAATGACGATGTCAACGATATAGCCCAATGGGATAGTATAGTACTCACCCTACTGACAGTCTTCAGAGTTCTACGAAGTATGACATAGTCTTTTTTAAGCAATCCAGGAAAGAATAAGGGTGAACAGAAAAGAAGAATAGGTAAAGTGTACGAGTTGACAAACTGTAAGAGGAGTGGTTGGTTGAGTTATGCCTTAACCTATTAATGTAAAAAGTCAGACGAAATATTCTTTTAGAAATCGCTAAGACATGGGAAGACCAGGATAGGTCAGAAGAAAGGAATAATCCAAGATACTTAACTTCAGACTTGGTTTCTATATCAGTATCATCAATTTTTGCAAGGGTCATAGGAACCAACAGCTTCATTTAACTTTCGTTTACATCGGAGACTGAAATTAACAGTCTGACATTTGGAAGGATTAAGTTTAAGGCCGTTAGACGAAGACCATTTGATAACTCCTGATAGAAAGCTGTTCATCTTAGAACAGTCTAGCTGGGAGTTAACAGACATTGAAATAGTTAGATCGTCGGTATACTTAACAAAGTTCATTTCATATCAGAGTGAGGCAAGTCATGCAAGAAGAAAGAAAAGGAGAAAGGACAGCGCCTTGAGGGACACCAGCCTCAGTAAGCAATAAAGTGGACGACTTTCCCTGACACACGGTGTACTGCTTTCTTCCTGAGAAATAAGAATGAAGCCATTTGACAACCCAACAGTCAGTTTGAGTTTCAGCAAGCTTGTTTAACAAAATGTCCCTAGGTACTGAGTCGAAAGCAGATGTGTAATCTAGGAAGGTGCAGCGAACAGATAAAGTGAAATTTATATAATTAAATTATTATTATTATTATTACATATTTAATTATTTTACTTTACGAAAATTTGAAATCTATTATTTTAAAGGTTGTCGATTTAACGCTGTTTTGGATCGAGGATTTGCTATGCTGGATATTCATTATTGTTATCCAGAAGACAATGGAGCATACTTTTGTATAGCTCGTAATGCTGTGGGACAAGTTCAAAGCAACGTGGTTGACCTACAGTAAGTTTATTAAGCTTTATCAATGTATTACTAAAACTGTAGCGTTATATCCATTTGCCTAGTATACTTTGACTGGATACTAAGCAGTGTCATGTGTCCAGTCCCACCATTCTAGGTGGTCACCATCACAGTGAACTCAGAATTGTTGTCATAACAATCTTGAAGGCGACCACAGGAAGCCATGCTTCACTTAAGTTTCGTGTTAGTTGTCACTTAACTTGAAAGAACTCATGTCCCCTCTGAGATTAGAACCCGCATCATCCAGTGCCGCCTACATTCAGTCAGAGACGTTTTAACAACTGGGGTATTTGAGCTCGCAACTGACCTCCTATAGGACTGATTGTATTGGATACATCGACTAGACACTAATTAGTGTCGTGCCGATCGCCTCTAACCATTTAATAACAACATTTTGCCTAGTGTATTAGGAATTTTTATTCAAAATGAACTGTTGCGTTATTTTATACGGATAAACTTACATTATAAGGCTGCTGTTTTTGAACATATTACTTATTTGGATGGAAAAGTGTGTTGCGCATGACTGAGTCAAGGCATCGCATTATTACTAACCTCCCCACTGGATTGAAATAGTTTGGTGGTTGCGTTATTCATTCCATTAGGCGCATGTGATAAGTAGCAATCTGAAATGGTGAATTCAGCAGGTCATTGTACAGAAACTGAGGCGATTACAATTGATTTTTGTTTTCAAATCTTATCTTCCATTAATGCGTACACCACATGAGGTCTTCGAAGTAGTTTCCCTTCGTAAAGGCTTAATTTAGTTCATATGTGTGATAGATGGATTGACTTGTAAATGTCATTTAAGTTGAAGAAGTTTCATCTTGTGTAATCGGTGGAATTAGCGAGCATCGTTATTCCCCCAGAAATGTTTCTTATTTTACTGTTCTAACACATGATCAAGATTTGTCCCTTAATAAATATCTGAGTAGGGTAATAATACTTAAATTAACCCTGAGAATTCTTAAACTTCAGTTTAGACTATTAAGTTCACCGTTTGAATGCATTCATTTAGTTATACTCATCAGTATAACGTCCTGAGGGTCGGTGGTTCAGTGGTAGAACATTGGCCAACTGCATAAGTGGTCCGGGGTTTGTTCTCCAGCCGGCGCACTCCTTTACCTTTCTTGGCCGGTATTAAAACAGGAAAGAAAGGGAGCGTTGGGCGTTAGGCTAGCAACCCTACCTCGAATAAAAACACCAGTGATACTGAAAATTCAAAAGCACTAATTTGAAGCCCTATTTTCCATTGGAAATGGCAAGGAATAAAAACAAAAATATTAAATTGTATTGTTTAAGTAGGACAAGTAAAAACAGAATTAACCCACTTACTGTGTGTACTGCTGAAGATTACCAAACAAGGACGAAGCAGGTCTCCAGTACTCCCATGTTTTCCAGTAGTTCTCTAACCAATAACAGCTCATGATGAAATCCTATAACCAGATAAATTTCTATTGGTATATGGTACGTTGATACGTCGGTGGCATAGCGGTTACGACGCTCGCCGACCATGCACATGGTCCGGAGTTCGATCCTCGACCACGGACGCACTCCGTTACCTCGCTGAACCAGAAATAATGCTGGTAAAGAGGAAAGGTTGGGCATGAGACTAGCAATCCCATCCTGTAAAGTAAACACTGCTACAGAAACTTGAAGCGACTAGCTTGAAGCCCTATGTTCCACTGGGGAACATGAAGGAAAAAAAATAGGGTACACAAAACTGGTATACAGTAACGTCCACTTGGTCGTCATTTGATCCGCTTCATGTAATTCACAGTGTGACAACAGAAGACAAGGGCCAGGCAACAGAACGTTTATTAGGGAAAATCAACACATATTTATAGATTTTAATGTACATTATTGTGGGTAATGTTAGTAGAAAATACAGTCTGTTGATTGGTTTTTTCTCACACAAAGTTAACCTTGCATCTCTTGTGGCTGTGTCAGTTCATCTATATGTTAACTGTATCCGCCTGTCCATCTTGACCTTGTTTTCACATGACTAACATTGACCTCAATTACTGTCAACCAATTTGGCTAGCAACCATCTCTCACCACCAGAGCTGTAAAAGCGACTATGCTGAATACAATTCAAACATCTGTTTTCATTGTTATTCTTATTATTCCCTCGAGTTTCGAGTAGAGCATAGAGTTTCAACAACACATTACTTTCTTCTCTTTTCTGCCGATGACTGCTCATAATCTCTCATCTCCTCCTCCACGCTACACGATCTCCTCCGTGTCACCCTCGGACGACTCACTAGTCGCTTCCCATTCGGATTCCACTCGAGTAATGACCTTCATTAGTGCTATGTATTGACGGCCTTCTCAGTGGCGTTTACCTAAACCATCGCCATTTTCTTCTAAATATCTGTTGAACAATCGATCTTTGATTGGTATGTTGCCAGATTTTCTTGTGGCTAATTCTTTCTGGCCGTCTGGTCATTTCATCATCAGCATGAGAGTGAAAGCAGCCTGTTCGAAATGCTTTTCTTGACTCACAATACAAGTTTCTGACCCATATAGAAGGAGTGACTGATTTCACATTTGTGTTGAAAATCCGAATCTTGTTGTTTATATTGAGGCGGAGTGCAGGAGATTTCCAAACTGATTTCAGAGTGTTGAAGGTATGTCTTGCCTCTCCGATTATGGCCAGCTTTGACATCTTCATCCGTGTCGTGTGCCGCCTGTGGTTGAAACTGTGCTCTTCAGATAATGAAGGAAGTCATCTCTTTGAAATTTCTCCCGTTGATGGTGACTGGTGTTAGTTGTTGTTGTTGGTTGGTGGATTGATTATCGTCATCAACTCCGTCTTATATATGTTCATCTGGAGTCATGTCTGCAGTGCTTCTTCAGCCAGTTTGCTCGTTTTCACCTGTAAGTCATGTGGTTTGTTCGCTATTAGACATAAGTCATAAGCAAAATCCAGATCTTATAGAGTCTTCTTATCAGCAAGTCAGCATATTTCTATCTTCTCACTTCCCACGTGCGGTCTGTTGCACAATCCAGTCCACTACAATTAGGAATATCATCGGTGATAATAAGCAGCCTTTTCCTAATTCTGTATTCATTTCAAACGCGTAACTGATTTTTGCGTTGTGGATCACCTGATATATGGCATTGTCATGTAGGCATCTGCTGAATGACGTTAGTAAACATATGAAGCACTGCACGCCATAGTGTTGAAGTAGTTTTCTTCTCGCTCAACTCCATCGAAGCTGTAGTCTTTTTGAAGTCGACTAAGTTGAGGTAGATATTTGACTACCATTCTATGCTTTGTTCGATAATGAAGCGTAAAGCTGCAATTTGATGAGAATATGATTCACCTTTTCTGAATCCAGCTTGTTCCGAGGGAGTTCTGTATCCAATGCTTGTTTTATTCTCTCCATGATGACGCGACTTATTATTATTATTATTGTATCCTTTTATTCCTAGAGGAACATAGGGCTTCAGCCAGGCGTCTCCATTGCGTTCGGTTCTCTGCTAGAGTTTTCACCTGGCTCCAAGTCTGCCCACACGTTTTCATCTCCTCTTCACATCACCTCCTCCAAGTCACCCCACCTTCGCACTGACGACCAACTCGCCGCTTCCCTTTCGGGTTCCACTCGAGCAATGGCTTGTCTAGTGATGTCACTTGATGCATTGTTTCCTCAGAGTATGGCCAGCCAATCCATCTCCATTTCTTCCTGACTATTTGTTTCACAATCGGTTCCTGCTCGGTTGGTTCGCTCATTGCCAGAGATCTCTGTTGGTGATCTTTTCTGGCCGGCCATCTGATCTTGAGCAAAGTATTGAGCGAAGACAACTGTTAATGAAGGTCTGTAGTTTGTTTGAGATGCTCTTTATGACGCGCAGTGCAAGTCTCTGATCCGTTTGTTGAGTAGCACTGACTTCACATTGGAGTTGAAAATCCGGATATTATTTTTGATGGTGAGTGCTGTTGACCTCCACACAGACTTGAGAGTAGTGAAAGCTTGTCTTGCTTTTCCGATTCTTGCTTTGATATCCTCGTCAGTTCCGTCTGCCTGTAGTTGAAACGATGCTTTCCAGGTAGGTAGGTAAAGGAGGTCGTTTCTTTCAGGTCCCTCCCATTTATGCTGATTGTTGTCTGTTGTTGTTGTTCTTGTCCAGGAAGCATCATCACCTCTGTTTTCTCTATGATGCCTTTTAGTATTGTACATTACTTAACCGTTTTCATTCCTTATTAGAGAAAACGAAAAGCGTCATTCAGAAACCAATTACACACTCTGAAATCAAACGTGTATGGGTTTCAAGCATTGTCAAGTACACAAGGAACTTTCGAAGTTCAAAAACGCAGCTTTTATGCCAGATGCAAGTTCAGAAGACCAACTTCCCTATCACACTGAACACGTACCCTTACACCAAACTAGTCCATAGGAAATATCTTCTTTCTTTTGAAGTTAAGACCATCCTACTAGCATAAAAACCAAAACCATGTTATCAAAAATTAAACACTGAGAGTGTTTACCACATTTGAGTTATAAAATTCGAGTGGTAGCTCCATTATGTATAAGATTTTATTTTGATAAATCACAGAGTGTTATACAGTAAGTAATAATTACTGATGACTACGCTTCGAGCACAAATTATTGCTCATAATCATATCAAGACACTACTCACTCACACAACTCACTTTCTTGCTTCATTTATATCCATGAGTGAAACTGATTAGACATTTGAATAAAAATCAATATGGGATAATGTGCATTCAGAAATAATAATATGAGTGTTATTAATCAAATACAATAAGATAGCAAATAAGATGTTTTCATAGTAAGATAAATAAGCAACTTGTTAGAATGATATAATACGAATTGAAATGCTTTTTAACATTGGATAGTTGGAGGCAATCGGCAGGAAGCCTTGGACCTAGGTCTCGTGCTAGTTGGCACTCATCAGCAAGGCGTATCTGCAACCTTGAAGGAACTGATGTCCCCTCTGAGATTCGAACCCGCGTCACCCAGTGCTGCAGTCAGAGACGTTACCACTGAGCTATTCAGGCTCGCGACTGACCTCCTGTAGGACTGTATTGGATATTTTTGATTGCACACTAGTCAGTAACTAGTGTAATGTGTCTAGTCCTATCTTCGGTGCAGACTGAATTCTATCAGTCATGTTTGCAATGTGGCCACCATGCTAGGTGGCTCACCATTACGGTGACTGATAGAATTCAGTCTGCACCGAAGACAGGACTAGACACATTACACTAGTTACTGACTAGTGTTCAATCAAAAGCATTTTAACATTATTTACTATCCTCCCCTGATTTGACTGTTAATAATATCTTCTATATATCTGGTATTTGCATTGAGTCATTTCTGCTGCATGTGTTGGGTGTAGACTCGATGAACGAGGCAGGATTCGGTAATCAATCTCTCTCTCTCCACCTAACTAGATTACTTTTTAGAATTTCAACTATGTCCCACCCACCCTATTGTGTGGTTGTATGTTAATGCATGTAGCGCAATCGCTGAGATTTTTTCTAAATTACTTATCTTCGCGGGTGGGGTCAGTCATTCTATTCTTAGAACAAGACATATAAGCGAACAATATTGTTTTCAATTAGATCTTCTTCAGGCTTTACTCTAATTTACATAGATTTATATATAAAATTTTAACCAATGACGGTGATTTTGGGAATCAAATAATAATCTTAATAGTCTTAATAATAATAATAATAATAATAATAATAATAATGTGGTAAATGTTTTGAACATAGTTAATAACGATGATTATAATGATAACAAAATATTGATAATAAGGTTTATGCAGGTGATAAGAATAACAAAGATAGTATATGTATATAAGTGTATAAATAAATTGGGTCAAATCTTAAAAGGTGAAGTGGAACGATAATCAGAGTTTAAATAAATATTATAAAAGTACAAAGGAGGTGGAAAATAAGAAAGGGTGGGAGGGTTTTGAATACAGTTCACCTAGGCCAAGGGAGAGACAAAGGTAGAACAAACTTCTTTTGTATGCAAAGACTAGGATTGTTCTCTCGAATTCCCATAGCTTCGGCTAGGTGTAAAAGACGGTTTCTGATTCCATTAGAAAGACTCGATGGAATACGATAGATAACTTTGAAAGCACTATTTTTGTCCACTTGGTGACCACTATCAATCAAATGAGCCAAAATAGAACTTCGTATGGATTTTATTTGACCTTTTCCGAACCATGAAGGAAGATGCTCATTAATGCGTTTGTTCAGCTGTCTAGTCGTTCGCCCTATATAGCTTTCTCCACAGGAGCAACTAAATTTATAGATACACATTGAAGTGGCACAACTAGGTAGCTTATCTTTCACTTGAGCAATCAAAATTGGTCGGCTGGAAAATGACAAACATAGGGTGGCGGCAGTATAAGTCCGTTTTATCGCTCTCGATAATCTCAGATGTAAGACTTCACTAGCCACGTCCCCATTAAATTGAAGTTTCATACAAAGATGTTCTACCTTTGTCTCTCCCTTGGCCTAGGTGAACTGTATTCAAAACCCTCCCACCCTTTCTTATTTTCCACCTCCTTTGTACTTTTATAATATTTATTTAAACTCTGATTATCGTTCCACTTCACCTTTTAAGATTTGACCCAATTTATTTATACACTTATATACATATACTATCTTTGTTATTCTTATCACCTGCATAAACCTTATTATCAATATTTTGTTATCATTATAATCATCGTTATTAACTATGTTCAAAACATTTACCACATTATTATTATTATTATTATTATTATAAGACTATTAAGATTATTATTTGATTCCCAAAATCACCGTCATTGGTTAAAATTTTATATATAAATCTATGTAAATTAGAGTAAAGCCTGAAGAAGATCTAATTGAAAACAATATTGTTCGCTTATATGTCTTGTTCTAATATTTTAAATGGGAATATTTGAAGATTCTATCCTTAGCTAAATTTTTATGTTCTAATAATCTCACTACCCGCCATCTACTAGTTTGACCTATGTAGGTGACTTAACTGACAGTCATAGCAAGGTGTTTTGTAAATATTACTGTATAACACACACTGTGTGATTTATCAAAATAAAATCTTATCCATAATGGAGTTATACTCTACCACAGTGCCCAAGTTTTATACTTATTAGAGTCGTAGGATTCCTGACTGAAGATTCACTTAATTTTAGCGTAAATACAGTTCCATATGGGAAAATAAGTGCTAACACACTGAGATATACTGAACTAATAATAGACTTTATCTTTCTACAATTGATAATCTCTATTTTTTAGTCGACATTATATGTATATATATGTACAATAAAAAATGAAGCTTTTAAGGTGAACACCTGTTAACTATCATCACCTTTTTTCCTCTTTTTGCTACAACAAAAACCAAACAGATGTAATGCTGAACAGCACATAGTTACAAGTTCACTATTATCAAAGGAGTCGATCAATTATCTTCAAAGTTTAGATGCTTGGGAAAGCGATGCCATGGCTGGGTAAGTTACTGTTATTTTTATTCTTCACCTCGTTGATTTTAAGCATAAATTGGACAACTTTCAAGTGTAATATTATTCATTATTATAAAAGTTTTTGTATTTCCCAATGAACCAATGAATGAATGAAAAACAGTAAAAGGATGTTGTTGTTCTTACTGACGTCTCTCTGTTTAAAATGCTGCTACTGATAGCTTTGTTAAAGTAGTAATATTAAACCAGAAGGATTTACAAAATCTCGGCTTATATAACCCTTACAAACCAACTGTAGAAAATTAATCTGTTGCTCTCTAGTGACTTGATACAGGATGGAGTTTCCTGGAGTTCTAGTGAGAAGTCGTGACCAGTGAGGTCCATCCAGTCAAGTGTAAGGATGGATGTCCCACCGACGACACTGGTTGGTAGTCGCTCTAAGTCACGAATTGGTAGAAGTTAGAATTCATGGGCTGGCCATTGAGGAGTCGGGTCCCAGTGGCTGAATGGTGTATACGAGCTGGCCTTGTAACTGGGAAGTCCTAGGTTCGAACTCTCTGTGGTGGGTGCATGCCGCCGACGATTCCCAAAACTGGGATGAAATAGCTGTCCACTACTCCATGTGGGCTGGTTTTCAATGGTTCTCTGACTGATAATTAATCTGTGATCAACTCGTAAAAACAAAACTAATCCTTACAAATCAACTATAGAAAATTATATATAACAACTTAATCATCGTTCATCAGCATGGAGTAAGTTTTTTAATTTGTCAAGTTGGCCAGTTGGTAAAGATAACGAAACCAGGTGTAGATTTTTGGATTTGATGAGTGTGTAAAATTATAAAAGCAGCGTGTGTTTACATAATGAAATTGCTTATCACATCTGTGTTGATTTTGTCATTTCATGGCAGAAGGGGAGGTTGTAACCATGTCAGATTCTGTTTAATCCCATCATTCCTATTCAGACAATTCGGGCTCCATTTGATATGAAGTGCTTCTGCTTTTGAGGCCTGGTTCTATATCGTAGCATGTAGACCCATGGCTGATGATTTTTCAAGCCTTTCTAGTTCAGCTGGATTTCTTTGTGGTCGAATAGAGATGGCTCTACAGTGTCCATTTCGTCTGATCTTAATTTCTCTCTGGTGATATTTGTCCGATGTTTATCGCATCATATTGCAAGCATTTTATTTTATAAACACAATTAGATAGGAAATCCACCAGATAAAATTCGCGCCAAATATGGTGTCGCGCTTGCAAAAAGTCTTTTGAAATGACTTCTTGTTCAACCTGGTAGGTCGGCCGGTTTTCGACATAGAACTTTGCACATATGTGCGGCAGTTCAAGTCGCCACAATCCCTTCTTGTAGCACACAAAGCAAGAGAAGAAAGTAGGAGAAATGCATAGTAGCGACAGTAAACAGAGGTGTGAGACAAAGGAATAGTAAAAACGAAGAACAAAACAGTTTCATTGGAAATCATAAGTCACAAGGAGTGGATGCATCTGCACCAGCCATTGAGAACGATTTTGAGCCATGTCACCAATTGTTTCCAACCATTGGTTTTTACCATCCCGAGGACCCCAACCAGGAAGTCAGTCTACACCTTCCTACATGACTGGCTTAGACTGACTGTTGTAGATTTCATTGACTGGTGCCATGTTTTCGTTTGACTGCCGCTAAATCTTTTTCAGTCTGGCCCTATATCAGCTAACATTGCCCGTCGAAGAAGGCGATGACTAGGCATACGTAACACATGTCCTAACCATCTCAGCTGATGTAATTTCGCAGTTTTGTCGACTGATTTCCCCGCCTTACCTAGCACTCGACGCCTAACCTCAACATTGCTCACCTTATTATACCACTTCACGCGGGAGATAGAACGCAGACACCTATGATCGAACACAGATAATCTTTTCATGTCTTCCACTCTCTATGGCCAAAGATTTATTTGCGGATAAATCTTTCGCCTTTTACTTGTTCAACCTGAGGAGATGCAAGGTGATAGCTGCGAATGCTGCTCACAGTCTGACGAAATCCCTTTAACAAATTTTTCGCACGAAATCAAGTTCCCATCTTCACTGACGATGTCACTGATATGTTCCAATGGGATAGTATACCAATCGCCCTACTAACAGCTAGTCTTCAGATTTCTACAAAGTATGACACAGTCTATTTTAAGCAACGCAGGAAAGAATAAGTAGAGAGGCGAAGAATAAAGTTTACTACCAAGTTTCTAAGTTCTGATCTCGATACACTTTATCACTTATTATGCCCGCTTTAGTAACTTTCCACATTATAATATTACAATGTATTATTTCCAAGGTATAATTAATATTCGTGTAGAGTTAGAATGATGAAATAACTAAAGATGGCCTCATCAATGTGCATCTATGAATTCAACTGCTCATGTGGAGCTAGTTACATTGGCTGTACTCAGAGGGCTTTATCCATGCGCGCGCGTGAACATGTACCTGTATGGTTGAGTAAAGGAGTAACCAAATGCGTAAATAGTGCAGTCTTAGCCCACTTGGTAGATACTGAACACACGATAAAACTTGACCAGGCGTTCTCAGTTATTTACCGCGTTCCTAGTAATTTATCTAGAGGAGCTCGACTGCGTCTTCTATCAGTAGCTGAAGCGGTGGCAATTAATACCAGAAGACCATCTCCTTGCATACAGAAGAAGTATGTTCAACCTCTATGTTTACCTTGGCCTACAATAAAGCCAACAAATCCTCCATTAACACTATAAATTCCTTTCACAATTTTCTTTTCTTCTTCTTCTATTCCTCTGTTTCATTGACAATCGTTCATTTTCGACTTTTATGATTTCATGACCTTTCTTATGATTTTATTACCTTAGGTTTAAGTAGTGCTTTTCTAACTTGCTATCGTATTTACAAAATCCTGTTCATTCCACTTCATTATATTCATTATTATTATTTGACAATCATTCACCAATAGTACTTGTAATTTTACACCATATCATCGTTATTATTTTACAATCATTCTTACTGTCGTTATTTTCAACCTTGAACTTATGTCTAGTCCGCCCCATTCGTTGGTCTATTTTCATATTGTCTCACACACCCTGATTACACATACTCTCGAAACCTGTAATTTCTGTTGACTATATTGGTATATATACACACATCATTAAACTAAATTACTTCATGTCATTTTGTCCCATGTTCTCATTGACCATGCATATTTTAAAAAAACTAACTGACTATTGTTCCATCCCATCCGATACTTGTTCCACAATACACTTTCTGATATGATTCTAATTCGCCTCTACTGGCTGGCTATTGTATACTTAAATTAATGAATTTATAATTGTAGAGCCTGAAGAAAGAAGAATTTATTGAAAACAGTTGTTCGCTCTAAATATTTTGTTCTAAATAACTAAAAGGTTATATTTTCACATTGACTCTGTTGATTTCTCAATATTGAATTGAAAATACTTTTCCTCTGCATAAATTTACACAGATATGATACAGTGAAAAGAGAAGAAGAAGAACCACCATGTGCACCATCCTTTGATATTCTACCTGTTGCAATGACTGTCACTGAAGGATCACCAGCTAAATTCATTGTCAAAGCAGGCGGAAATCCAAAACCAAAAATATTTTGGTATATTGATGGAGAACTTATGGCTTCAGTAAGTTGTATAATCTATTATTTAAAAATTAATATTTCTTATCGCTTGTCGATAGGCGTTGTAATTTACGATCACAGAACCATTCACCTTTAAAAATTACTTAATTCATTCTTAGTTCGCTTTATTTTTATGATGTATGTATCATTGCTACAAAAAGCCGAATAGTCCTTGATAAATCCAGAAAGAATTTATTGACTTTGAAGAATTTGGGGAATACATGCAGACTACGATGGTGGAGGTCATTCTACATCTCCGAAAATGGTCACTCAGAACGTTTCATCACGAAATTCATGGAACCTTCACCAGTTAAACCGCTCACACATTCTGCCTTCAAAGCAGCGGCTCAACTTGAATCGACAATTCAACAGAGACTCATCAACAGAAATACTGAAAGACTGCATGTGGAGCTCACATTCTTCGTGGCTTAACTTCGACTAACTTTCTCTAAAACACCAATGAAGGATGAGCTATTGCTGTTGACCTCATCAGTATGCATCTAGGTATGTCGGCCGTACTCAGAGTTTGTTATCCAAACGTATCATCGAACACTTACCCTCATGGTTTTGTAAAGAAGGAAAAAGATCCCCCCTCCCGCTACAGTCCTGTTCTAGAACACCTGATCAAATCTGGACACCAAGCTAGCTAACCTACACAGGAACTTCAAAGTTATCTACAGAATAAGTGGGAATCTTTCTAAAAGAGTACGAATCAAACTTCTTCAAACCACAGAAGCGATAGCAACTGACATGTTAAATCCTGAACTCTGCGTACAAAAGAAGTGTGTTCAGTTGATAGATAAATCTACAGTGGACCTGACGCACCTTAACACCAAATACGTAATTTTTGTGTTCTTAGTTTTCTTAGTTGTATTATTTTCTTCCCCCACCCGCCAATTAAATCTCTACCTCTTATTACCACTGTTGCTAACTCGACTCTCATTCAAAGTTTAGTTGAATTCTACTCAACTACCCGGTCAGTGATATTACGTCACTCAATCTACTTATTCAGTTTTATTTTCGACTCGATTAATGCTTTCGGAAAAGCAAGACAAGCTTTCACTACTCTCAAGTCTGTGTGGAGGTCAACAACACTCAGCATCAAAAATAACATCCGGATTTTCAACTCCAATGTGAAGTCAGTGCTACTCACTGTACGGATCAGAGACTTGCGCGCATCATAAAGAGCATCTCAAACAAACTACAGACCTTCATTAACAGTTGTCTTCGCTCAATACTCAAGATCAGATGGCGGCCAGAAAAGATCAGCAACAGAGATCTCTGGCGATGAGCGAACCAACCAGGAACCGATTGTGAAAGAAATAGGCAGGAAGAAATGGAGATGGATTGGCTGGCCATACTCTGAGAAAACCAATCATCAAGTGACATCACTAGACAAGCCATCACTCGAGTGGAACCCGAAATTGAAGCGGCGAGTTGGTCGTCGGTGGAAGGTGGGTGACTTGGAGGAGGTGATGTGAAGAGGAGATGAAAGCGTGTGGGCAGACTTGGAGCCAGGTGAAGACTCTAGCAGAGAACCGAACTCAATGGAGACGCACGGCTGAAGCCCTATGTTCCTCTAGGAATTAAAGGATACAATAATAATAATATTACGTTATTTGTTATCTAGAATTGAAAATTCTAATGACACATTTTTGGAAATATTCCTTTCGTCGCTAAGAGAATTTACTGTATACACATACGATTGTACAGCTTGAGAAAGATATCACCGTAAAGAGTAACTCTTCACTGGACGCTCTTTCTTTTATATGACTCATAGGGGATTTTCAAGTTTTCTATAGTTGACGAGTTGATCACGGATTGAGATCAGTTAGAGAACCATTGAAAACCAGCCCACAGGGAGTACTAGACAGCTGTTTCATCCCAGTTTTGGGAATCATCGGCAGTATGCACCCACCACAGTAGAGTTCGAACCTAGGACCTCCCAGTTACAAGGCAAGCTCGTATACCATTCAGCCACTGGGACCCGACTCCTCAATGACCAGCCCATGAATTCTAACTTCTACCAATTCGTGATTTAGTGGGACCGATGACATTGGTTGGTGGGTGCGTACTGCCGATGATTCCCAAGCACTAGGATGAAACAGCTGTCCAGTACTCCCTGATTTTGAAGTTCCATTTTTTTGGTCTCCAATTACTGAAGTGTGTAGTAAGAACTGCATTTGAGCGTGATCTGTTGTTAGTACACCTTTACATGATACAATATGGAACAATTTTAAAGGTGTATGAGTTAGATTACCAACTACTTAGTGATTTCAGCTGACTAAATTTCATTCTCCTCTTAGTTAACTTGCGCAATTTGTCCTGCTTTCTTAAGCTCTTCGGTAAGAGTTTTTGAACTGATCATCTCAAAGGCACAATTGGATTTTGCCTTAACCTACTGATCAGTATACTTTCTCAATAGATTACGTCATTGGTGCAAGGGACCATTACATCTCTTTTTCTTTGAAAGGTCTTAAAGGTCCCATTTTCAGTTTTCAGATGTAGTTTATTTTCCATCTCTACAGAGGCATCAATATATATATATATACATAAAGTATATACGCTTACTCAATTTAATTATTTTCATACAAAAGTTAGGAGGAGGTGGAAATTGGCGAATCTTTCAAGATGGAGGTATTAGTAATTTAGAGTTTCTTCGTGTCAGTAATCCTGGTCAGTTGAATATTAGAGCTGTGGCAAGAAATAATATGGGTGAAGCAGCTGCGGAGACAGTATTAATTATAGAACCACATTTGGACTTTCGACCAGATCTACGTCATGTTGAACCAGGTAAGCGTTTTGTTGAGTAATAAATCTTTAAAATCTATTTTTATCTCAGTAAGAGACAATAGAACTTTTAAATAACTTGCCAAGATGTTGTCTGTCCAACGAATTACTGAAAGGATGCAGGTGTTTGTTAGTAAAGCATACTGAAGAACTCTAATTTCGTTTACAGTGTTCATTATAAGCAGTTAAATAAGGGTTTGGATTTGTCTTATGCTAACAGTGTCAGTTCCGGTCGAAATATTGTAATAACTCAGCTTGTCACCTAACCTTACATCATCACTCCATTATATTGACATCACAGATCTCTCTATGTATTTCAAGTTATATATATATATAACATGGTGGACAAAGTATTCAAGTGGCGATTTTGATGAAAATTTGATGAATTGGTCACCTTTTTTACTTTATTCCTTGACGTTCTGAGTGGAATATAGGGCTTCAAGCTAGATCTTTGAAGTTTCAGTAGCAGTGATGTTTATTTTTACAGGGTGATGTTGTCAGCCTCATGCCTAACCTCCTCTCTTTACCGGTCTTATTACCGACTCAGCAAGGTTTAGGAGTACATTGGCCGGGGATCGAACCCCGGACCACATGCCTGGTTGGCGAGCATTCTACCAGTAATCCGCAGACGCAAAATCATTTACGGATGAATTGGCTAATATCTGCTGTATTAACATTTCTCACTCGATTTAAACGTCAGTATCAATTTGCCAAAAACAAATTTATCTGTCGAAGAATTATACTAACCTGAATCGATAATATGAAGACATCTTTGTGGTATCCGGTGCTAACCAGTTATCGGTAAACTTCATTTTTGAACATTTTGCCATCGCTTAATTATGAGACCGTAAGAATAAATGTATAGAATTCCCACCTCTTACCTCTTTATTAATTACAATAATTGTTTAAAAAGCTGTTGTTTGAAGTGAACAACTTATCCTCAAGTGAGAAAACACCAGAGATATTAAAGAAAACGGTTATATAAGATAAAGTCTCACAGTGTTATACAGTAATGTTTACTGATGACGTTTCGAGCACAATTCATTACTGCTCATAATCATATCAAGGTAATCACACGACTTCCTAAATTCATTTATATGGTTCCGTTGTTTTTCACTTGATTTTCACTTGATTTGATTGGTAGTAATATTTTCCATATTTCGGGTATGAGTGATGAATCATTCCTATTGCATGTGTTGGGTGTAGATTTGATGAACCAGGCAGGATTCAGTAATCAACCTCTCTCTCCACCTACCTAGATTACTTTTTAGAATTTTAACCCTCTCCCACCCTATTGTGTGGTTGTGTGTTAATGCATGCATTGCAATTGCTGAGCTTTTTTCTAAATTACTTATCTTCTCTGGGTCAACCATTCTTACCTATATTATTTTGACAATCTGACTACCCCTGACCTACTAGTTTGACCTATGTAGTAGTCAATTGCAATGCACGCATTAGCACACAACCACACAATAGGGTGGGAGAGGGTTAAAATTCTAAAAAGTAATCTAGGTAGGTGGAGAGAGAGGTTGATTACTGAATCCTCGTTCATCAAATCTACACCCAACACATGCAATAGGAATGAATCATCACTCATACCCGAAATATGGAAAATATTACTACCAATCAAATCAAGTGAAAATCAAGTGAAAAACAATGGAACTATATAAATGAATTTAGGAAGTCATGTGATTACCTTGATATGATTATGAGCAATAAATTGTGCTCGAAACGTCATCAGTAAACATTACTGTATAACACTGTGAGACTTTATCAAAATAAAATTTACCCATAATGGAATTACACTCTACCACAGTGCACAAGTTTTATTCTTATATTAACGGTTATATAAGACACATTAAACTTAAGTAATGGTTTGCAGGGATTCGATTTGATGGGTAACAGGACTTAATCATGAGCTGACATCCGCTAGAGAACTATTAGAAAACCAGCACCGAAGTACTGGGCAGGTGTTCCGTCATCCTAATTTAGCACTCCCCGGTAGTACGCACCCATCGCCAGGGTTTGAACCCCAGCACCTGCATTCATCAGCCACTGGGACCTGATCTAATGACCAGCCTATGAATTCCGACTTCTGCCAATAATTCACAATAAATTGTGACTGTCACTAGCCAATGTCATCGCCGGCGAGTATCGGTCCTCACATCCAACCTGCTGTTCCCCAATGGTCACGACTTCCCACTAGAATCCAGGGGACTATCTACCTAACCACTCTAACCAATGTCAGCTAATGATAAAATCTTGTAACAAATTATACTTACTGAACAAATCCCACTGATTTTGTTGTCATAAAAAAAGATAAAACTTCTGATGGTACCTAATTTTCAGTTAAAAGTACATGTAATAAAAGTAACCTAAAAGGGTACACAAACTTTGTGGTAAAAAAAACCACACAGCCACACACATACATACATGTAAGCAACATGGATGTTTATATATGCTTTTTGTACTTATGCTATAAGTAATAAAAAGTACACTTTTTTATGTCATTCTGGACTCGTACAAAATGCCAACATTAAATCGTTTATATTATTAGTTTGCTCTTATCCTTTTAGTTGACCTCATTTATAATAGATACAGAAAAAAAACACTATGAAAACTTTGCTGTAGATTTGATCGGAAAGCCGAATTACCTAAATGTTAGTTGAAGATAAAGAAGCACGAGAGTGTAGTTTTATTTTAGACTGTATAGGGGATTATTATTATTCGCATTATTCGCTTGGCTTTCGATTGGAAAATAGGGCTTCAACAATACATCTCCACTTTCTTCTATTTGGTGCTGTCTTCTTCAGCTGTTTCCACAATTGATCATAATCTCTCATCTCCTCCTCCACGCCACACATTCCCCTCCATGTTATCCTCGGATCCACGCCCAGTGATTGCCTGCACTGAGCGTGATGTCAGTCGATGGCCTTCTCAACGCACACCCGATCTATCTCCATTTTCTCCCACATATTTGTTGAGCAGTCGGCTCTTGGTTGGTAGTTGCTAATTATATCTAGCCAGTCAGCCATTTTCTTCAGTATGCTGCCTCATTCAAATTTCTCCCGTTGATTGTGATTGGTACTGGTTGTTGTTGTTGCTGCTGTTGCCTGGTTATTCTCATCACTTCCATCTTCTCTATTTTCACCTGGAGTCCTGTCTTTGCTGCCCGCCTCTCCTGACATTTTGTTGGTTTTCGCCTACAAGTCTGCGAGTCTGTGTGACATTAAACATAAATCATCCACAAGCGAAATTCAGATCTTCTAGAGTCCGACGTATGCCTGTCTTCTCACACCGTAACCACATTCTTCTGCATAATCCAGTCCAACACAATTAGGAATATCATTGGTGATAAGACAGCCTTATCCTACTCCTCTATTCACCTTACACGTCTCACTGAGTTTTCTGTTGTGGATCACCTGACATGTGGCATTGTCATATAGCCAGCAGTTGAATGAGGTCGGTGAACATATGGGGCACTTCACGCCGTAGTGTTGATGTAGTTTCCAAAATTACTTCTCGGTCAGCGTTGTTGAAGGCCTTTTCGAAGTTGATGAAATTGATGAAGAGATTTGACTGCCGTTCTATACTATACTTTGTTCGATGACTATGCACAATGTTACTGTATGGGAAAATGAACCTTTAAATGCATATTATTATCTCAAGCTTCATATTTCTACTTGTCTACTCAATCGAAATACTATTTCTAAACATTTATGGTCTAATGACGTCACAATCCAGTATCATCTTTGATTAACTATCCTTGCAATAAATTTGACTCAGTCAATGAGTCATTATCCTTACTTTAAAACTTCAGAAATCAGTCAGTAATGACTGTTAGGAAAATGATCATAACTGCTGGACTTCGTCAACTCATATTTGTGAACAATTATTCACCGAACAAAATGCAGATTTTCAACATTAATGTCAAGTTGGTTAATGCTTTTGATGTGGTTGTGTTCTCTGAGCTGGATAGTTAATTTGCGAAGCTTTCATCGCCCTACTAGGTGACATCTTCAGCGCATACTTCAATTTGAAGTGAGCTTTTAGATTTCTCCACGAGTTTATTAATCATCTCTCCTGGTGGTGACCTTGGACGTGATTGGTTGTTTTTGTGTTTTCACACCTTCTAGGTTACTTGTATTGTAACTCATTGTTTCTTTGACTTGAACTTTGACCCTTTGTGTGTGACGTTTCTTTTTTATCGGTTGATAAATTTTGTCTATCTCGATGTGTCCATTGATTGATGATTCACTGGAATGCCAAGCTTCTAAAAATTCTCTAGCATTCTTGTTGTTTCCTCTGTCTAATATTTGGACGTTGTCCCGGTCGAATTGATGTCCGTGGTTGTCTGTATGTAGTGATATGAGGGAGTAGATATCATGTCTTTTGACGGCTAGCTTATGTTTGTGGATACGTAGACAAAGGGGACGTCCACTTTGACCAATGTAGTGTTTTTCGCAGTTGATCCAATTTCTTTTGTAGATGATGTTGGTTTTATCTTCTTTCGCTGTTAAGTCTTTTGGTTGACATAGAATTGAGTGAAGTGACTTTGTTGGTTTGTGTACGACATCAATTCCTAAAGGTTTAAAGAGTCTTGTAGTGATTTCTGAGATGTCCTTTATATATGGTAAGGTGATTTTCTTTGTGCTTTCCTCGGGGGCTTTTGGTTTGATAGGTTGGCTTGGGAGTATATGTCTTTTGATGAAATTCCGTGGATATCCATTCTTTTGGAAGACGTCCATGAGATATCTTTCTTCAATTTTCCCTAAAGTTGGAGTGCTGCAATGAGACTCATTGCAGCGCCTTCGCTGGCTCCACAACAAAGATCAGAGGGCCAGCCAGAAATCATTAGCAACAAAAATTCTAACAATACACCAACCAGGAACCTATTACTAAACAGACTTGCCGAATAAAATGGAAATGGATCAGAAATACTCTGGAGAGACCAGTGAGTGACATCGTGCATCAGATCCTCGAATGAAAGCAGTGGGGGAAACAGCGAGTTGGACGTAGCTCCGACGGTGATATGGAGGAGATCGTGTCGGCAGGCGGAAGCGAAGTCTGATGGATGGTCGTAGAGCTAACCAAAGAGGACTGCAGAAAACAGGACAAAGTGGAGATGTGCTGTTGAAGCCCTACAAAATTCCACTCGGAAGACAAGGGAATAATGATTATAATAATAATACATATTCACTGATGAAAACGGGTCGAGTTGATGATACATTAGTAGCTTGAAATAATTAGCGATTTATTTGTCAATCGGTGTCAAATAAAAATGTATTGACTGGAAGATGTTACAGTCACCGTTATGATCACGAAGTTAGGTAGTGTTTTGAACAGACAGATGGTCTCTAATTAGTACAAAAATTCCATCCGTTGACACTTTTATTAGTAGTGGTTATGCAATCGATATTGGTCAGTAAGGGAAATTATACTGATTCCAGCCAAATTGTAATTTTAACTTCAAAAATGAATATCTACAGGGTTTTTTAAGGAAAATATGCACATCTGTGATAAAGCAAAGTTTCTACATCACATAATCTGTACAGTTACTGCCTCGCATACTATTATACCAACTTTTGTCATGATGTACTCTTCTTAATGAAGAAAATAAAAGACAGTTCATCGAAGAGAGTTTTCGTTACACGATGAAATCGTCTTCAGACACTGTACAGTCGCATTTATATTTCCCCCAAAAAATGTATAGTAGTCAATTATTGAATAATAGGAGTGGGGATGACATAATTGTTATAATTACTCAGAAGTGGCTTCAAAAGTAAACATTAAAGTTACAAATTACGTAATACTCAACAACAGCAGAAATGAAGAAAACGTTAGAAATTTGATAAGGTTAAAATTGTTATTCAGTAGTGAGAAGAAAGGTAGTTGAGTGTTCATTTAAAAAGTGTGAAGAAAGCGAGAAAATGTAAAAAAGGAACATGTAAGGGTGATAATAGTGAATAGATTATTTAAAGTAAAAGATGGCCAGAAAAGATCAGCAACAGAGATCCCTGCAATGAGCGAACCAACCCAGCAGGAACCGATTGTGAAACAAATAGGCAGGAAGAAATGGAGATGGATTGGCTGGCCATACTCTGAGGAAACCATCAAGTGACATCACTAGACAAGCCATTGCTCGAGTGGAACCCGAAATGGAATCGGCGAGTTGGTCGTCAGTGCGAAGGTGGGGTGATTAGGAGGAGGTGATGTGAAGAGGAGATGAAAGCGTGTGGGCAGACTTGGAGCCAGGTGAAGACTGTAGCAGAGAACCGAATGCAATGGAGACGCACGGCTGAAGCCCTATGTTCCTCTAGGAATCAAAGGATACAACAACAAAAGCAAACTGATCATTAGAAAAAGGCACAAACAGCGAAGAAAATTTTCTTTTCGACGATTCATTTTCATGAGCTGCTGTACAATCGTAACTATATTAAACGAAGAAATCTTTATACCAATCAGATACGATTGTACAGCTCATGAAAATGAATCGTCGAAAAGAAAATTTTCTTCGCTGTTTGTGCCTTTTTTATTATGGGAATATTTCGTTCATTGAAGAAACTGATCATTACCAAAACACGGATGAAAAATTACAAGTAACGACTAATGAAAAGGTCACAACCGTGGTAGAATAAGAGACTGGACGAACGTTTTCTGCTTACAGAGTCCGGGGTTGTACAGACGAATCACCAACGCCTCCGCCATACACAAATACCGAAACCTAACACCCTTTATATCTTCCGGCCTCACCTTTTAGGATAATCTTGAAAGACGACCCTGGTGGAGCTGCTTGCCTTAAGTTCACCTAGTACTCGAGAATTGAGCTAGTAACTGTCTTTCATTGTCCTTTTGCTAACCATGCTGGATAATGTTCGGAGATGCGTTTGGAAAGTGTGCGCTTTGTGCGGCCAATATAACTAGCTCCACAGGAACAAGTGGATTTATAAACACACATTGAATTGATCCATCCAAAGCGACAGTTTATCCTTCACACATCCATTGATCATTTGTCGGCTGTAGAAATTGATCCGTAGCTCAGCTGAAAAGAATGCTTTTCTCAGTGATCTGCATAAGCGGTTGTTCTTCAGACTCTCAGCTGTGGTATCACCTTCAAATTCAACGTTCATGAATAGCAGTTTCTTCGGCATCGTGTGGGTTTTTCCGGGTTTTTGCTTTGCTTCCATGTTTTTTGTCGATGGATATTGAAGGATATCCATTTTCTATGAGGACTCGTCTGAGTCTCTCCAGTAAACCATCAATTCCTGAGGATAAGGAATGGATCAGATTTCTCTTTTTTCTCAAAGGGATCCAACTATGAAAATTCGTGTATAGACCATTCCATGTTGGTTTTCTGCAGACTGACGTTTGAAGAGAACCGTCAGATCGCCTTTTTTTAGCAAAACATCTGAAAAATGGAATTCTGAGTTCATCTCTGAATCCGACGTGAACTGGATAGCATGATGGCAGTTGTTGAGCTCCTTAGTTATTATTTCGGTGTCGGAATTCTAGTCAAATTTTTGGTAAAAACAAATACGACTGTACAGCCTCTGAAGATGGTTTTGTCGATAAAGAAAATTCACCTCGCTGAATCGTCTTGTATTTTTTTTTCACGACCCATTGGAAATTTATAGTAACAACTAAGTTGATAAGTAGAAGAACTCATTGTACAATAAATTTCGTCTGCTAATTAAAAGAAAGTGGGGTTATTTTTAGCATAATACAACCCTGTGTAGGCAAATACAATCACGTTCCAACTTGATTTCTCAGAACCACTGGGAGCTACACAAATTTCAATGAGTTCATTATGACTCATAAAAATACGATTAGTGAACAGGGATCCCAAGCTCACTGAATTCATTTAATACACAGACATATTAAGTGCTAGAACTGATAGAAATGCAACCAATCAATCTATACTCTTCAAATAAGCTATGGAGGACACCGGGCCCAAAACGGCATTTTATCCCTCTACCTTGCAATGTACTGTTGCTGACTAATGAAACCATACAGAATCTATTACTCTCTAAAGTATTCAGTAGTGTCCAACCAAATCTCCCTAAAAAATCACCCCGATGACTACCAAGTCTTGCGATAAGTACGTTACAAGTTGGTCACCGACTTGATAAAAAAAATTGAAACAATTTTCGAAAAATTAAAATTTCTCTTTTTACACCATAATAAATAATTGTGGAGACAGCAAGTCTACTATATACATATGTTTATATATATTTATATTTCCCTTCAGAAAATCCATTCAAAAAACTTGTGCAATTACGAAAGGTGAAGTGTAGTGATGAGCTTTCTTCAGCTTTTCGTAAACCTAAAGCTCAAGCACTTGATTTACGCCGTTTGGAACGTGGTAAGTCTGCAATTTTCAAAAGAAAATAATAATGTTTAAGATATTTTAATTTTGAATATACTTTACTGAATAAATTTCTTAATACTTATTGGATGACTTGGCGATCTTTAGGAACATTTCACTTTTTTAAGACGGGTGCATTTCAGTTCAGAATATTTTGATCATAAGTTGAGAAGTAGTCAATTTAGAGGGTGAATATTCTTCTTACTGTGTTGCACCCATCACCACCACCCCTTATTGTGTTCGAGGTTTCTTTCTTACGTATTTGAATCTACCAACAACTGACTGACTATTCATTTTTATAGAAGTTTTTGTATTTCCCAATGAATGAATGAATAAAAAACAGCAAAAAGACGTTGTTGTTTTTACTGACGTTTCGCTATTCAGTGCTTTTAACAGCTTTATCAGAGTAGTAATTTTTAAACCAGAATTTACAAAATCTCAGCTAATATACAGTAGACTTGATCACTGTTCTACAGCATGATGTAATTTTTACTTTGTGATGTTGGTCAGTTTGTCTAGATAACAAAACCAGATATAGATTGTTGGGTTTTGATAAGCGCATATATTTACATAATGAAAGTGCTCATCACATTCGTGTTGACCGTGTCATTTGATGCGAGAAATAAGGTTGTTGTAACCAGGTCAAATTCTGTTTGAGATAATCGTCCCTATTCAGGCAGTTTGGATTCCATTTGATATGAAGTGCTTCTGATGATATTAGACGTTCTTTTTCATTTCTGTAATTTTTCTGAATGATGATTTGGATATTGTGAAAATCACTTTTGTGACCTGATTCTAAAGCGTAGCGTGTAGACCAACTATGGCTGATGATGTTTCAAGCTTTTCTAGTTCGAATGGATTGCTTGGTGGTCGAAAAGATGAGGCTCTAAGGTGTTAATTTCTTCTGATGATGATTTCTGTCTGGCGATGTTTATCCGATGTATATCGCATCACATTGCAAGCACTTTATGTTGTAGACACAATTCGATTGAGAATACTCAGGGATTCGGTCTTTCCACATGGACAAGGTTGCTTTGCAGTAAGCATTTTCGATGTTTTGAAAAAACTCTGATGTCGTGATTATTGAGTACTCTTCTGACGCCGTCTGACGTATCTGATCTATATGGAATGACAATTATTCAGGCCCATGTTAATGAACGATGATTAAGTTGTTGTTGTATGAAAACTGAGATTTTGTAAATTCCGATTTAATATTAGCACTCTGATAAAGCCATTAGCACTCAATAGCGAAACGTCAGTAACCACAGAAATATCGTTTTGTCTTCCATTCATTCATTAGGAAATAAAACAACTTTTAGAATAATAAATATCAACAACCTGATACTCAGATGTTTTCAAACTGTTAAAAGTGAACTTAATTTGGACCTGTATAAATTGAAAACTTGGAGGATCTGGACTTCGCCGATGATATATATCTGATTTCTCACAAACTGGAAGATATGCAAGCGAAAAGCAACAAGTTGGCAGAAGAAGCATCCAGAGAAGATATGCCTTCAGATGAACATAGAGAAAACAGAGGTAATGAAGATTCCTGGACAAGAACAACAACAACAGACAACAATCAGCATAAATGGAAGGAACCTGAAAGAAACAACCTCTTTTACCTACCTGGGAAGCATCGTTTCAACTACAGGCTGACGGAACTGACGAGGATATCAAAGCAAGAATCTGAAAAGCAAGACAAGCTTTCACTACTCTCAAGTCTGTGTGGAGGTCAACAGCACTCAGAATCAAAAATAAGATCCGGATTTTCAACTCCAATGTGAAGTCAGTGCTACTCACTATACGGATCAGAGACTTGCACTGCGCGTCATAAAGAGCATCTCAAACAAACTACAGACCTTCATTAACAGTTGTCTTCGCTCAATACTTCGCTCAAGATCAGATGGCCAGCCGGCCAGAAAAGATCAGCAACAGAGATCTCTGGCAATGAGCGAACCAACCCAGCAGGAACCGATTGTGAAACAAATAGGCAGGAAGAAATGGAGATGGAATGACTGGTCATACTCTGAGGAAACAATCCATCAAGTGACATCACTAGACAAGCCATTGCTCGAGTGGAACCCGAAAGGGAAGTGGCGAGTTGGTCGTCAGTGTGAAGGTGGGGTGACTTGGAGGAGGTGATGTGAAGAGGAGATGAAAGCATGTGGGCAGCCAGGTGAAGACTCTAGCAGAGAACCGAACTCAATGGAGCCGCACGGCTGCAGCCCTATGTTCCTCTAGGAATTAAAGGAAACAATAATAATAATATAAATTGACTGTTCGCTTAAACTTATTAATAATGACATTCATATTTTAACCTGTCAATATTTCGAAGTTGTATTCACCGGTTATTCTGTCTAGTCATTGTTAGTTACTGATCCCTAAACCCGTCTTCATTCAGCTTTTTGTATGATAACTCCCATCATGTTCAATAGAACCTACCTTGGAATTAGGAAACTATTAGCAAACAAAGTAAGGAAAACCCAAAATGTATTAGTGAAATTAAACTTGCTTCTTATCTGACTTCTACAACATTCTTGATTGCACACTAGTCAGTAACTAGTGTAATGTGTCTAGTCCTATCTTCGGTGCAGACTGAATTCTATCAGTCATGTTTGCAATGTGGCCACCATGCTAGGTGGCTCGCCATTACGGTGCACTGTGAATTGTTGGTATTAGATGGTTGGAGGCAATCGGCAGGAAGCCTTGGACCTAAGTTTCGTGCTAGTTGGCACTCATCAGCAGGCGTATCTGCAACCTTGAGGAACTGATGTCCCTTCGGAGATTCGAACCCGCGTCACCCAGTGCTGAGTCAGAGACGTTACCACTGAGCTATTCAGGCTCGCGACTGACCTCCTGTAGGACTGTATTGGATATCTTTGATTGCACACTAATCTTCCGTAATGGCGAGCCAACTAGCATGGTGGCCACATTGCAAACATGACTGATAGAATTCAGTCTGCACCGAAGATAGGACTAGACACATTACACTAGTTACTGACTAGTGTGCAATCAAAAATATCCAATACAGTCCTACAGGAGGTCAGTCGCGAGCCTGAATAGCTCAGTGGTAACGTCTCTGACTGCAGCACTGGGTGACGCGGGTTCGAATCTCCGAAGAGACATCAGTTCCTTCAAGGTTGCAGATACGCCTTGCTGATGAGTGCCAACTAGCACGAAACTTAGGTCCAAGGCTTCCTGCCGATTGCCTCCAACCATCTAATACCAACAATTCTACAACATTCCCAACATTCTTATTTACTGTATTATAATAATGGAAATATTAGCCACCCACCCATCCATGTCTCAAGATTCCTGATAAATTCCATTCGGTGTCAACCTAGCCTATATCTGCATTTCTCTCCTGAAAGCCGAAATGATGTTATGTCAGAGAGTTTTATAGACATATAGGCAATTATTGCACATTTATATAGCTCCACTTCAATAGTTTTAAATTTTATTCCCGTGAATTCATATACTAAGAAAGAGAAGACGTACAGTGAAGAGACTCTTTTCGGCGAATTCATTCACACAGCTGTACAATCGTATTTATATACAATTATTTCGTGTGTGTGTACATGAAGTTTGTCAAGTTTAGATAATTAATCAGGTAATAGAAAAATGATCTAATATAGAAACAAAGTTAATTAGACAACAACTAAAGTAAGACTGAGTTAGTAAGTTAGATGACTAAAATGTTTCAACTTAGGTCAGGATAGCAACAGAGGTAATTACAGGTTAGAGAATAGGTAGAAGTGGGGTAGAGAATAATGCCATTTAAATTAGGACTAAAATTGAGTAAACAAATTGGATGGCGTAACATAAATGACTAGAAATTGAGCGTCGATCAAGTCAGTAACAGTGATAATGAAGTGTAGAAATTAAATCGATTGGGGGTAGAGAACAGGCAAGTTGAAAATTTAAAATATTACAATTGAAAAGACAATCATACTAATGAAGAGACAAAAAGAAAGAAATAGAAAATACCTGTCGGGTATTAGGATAGATTACGTCCATTGCAAGTGTGGTGACTGAACGAACTTCCTCTGTATGCAGAGTTCAGGACTTAGCAAGTGAATTGCCATTGCTTCTGCAGTTTGAAAAAGTCTGATTCGAACACTTTCAGGAAGACTGCTTTGTATTCTGCAGATGACTTTGAAGTTACTTTGGGGTGTAGCTTGGTGTCCGGAATCTATCAGATGTTCTAAGATAGTGCTGTGGGGGCGTTGTTTTTCTCCTTTGTAAAACCATGTTGGTAAGTGTTCGGTGATACGTTTGGATAGCGAACGCTGGGTACGGCCAACATACCTGGCTCCAAGCGAGCAGGTGAATTGGTAGGTACACCTTGATGAGGCCAATAGTGGTACCTTATCCTTCACGTTCATACGTATACGTTCATACGTTCATTTACTTGAAACATTTTGATCATGCTTTATTCGTCTCTTTTGTTAGCTCTTGAAAATCGTGGTCGGTCTGCTGCCGGTGCAGAGGTTGAAGAAGCTGAAACTCTGTACTCTCGCGTTCAATCTCAACTGCGTACAAATAGACGTTCTAGTGTCCCACCACCAACACCACCACCACAGAATGCTCAACAAAATAATATACAACATCAAAGACAACCTGCACCGCCTACACCACAACCACAACAAAACAATTTCCAGGTAAGTGAATAATTGTTAGGATACCTGTACTTGAAATATCAATATTATTATACTATTATTTTCTATAGTTGGTTTGTAAGGATTAGATTTGTTTTCACGAGTTGATCGCGGATTGATATCAGTTAGAGAACCATTGAAAACCAGCACTAGAATACTGGAAAGCTGTTTCATCCTAGTTTGGGAATCATAGTCAGTACGCAACTACTGGAGTTCGAACCCAGGACCTTCCGGTTACAAGGCAAGCTCGCATACCATTCAACCACTGGGACCGGACTCCTCAGTGGCCCATGATACTCGCTAGTGACTTGCTAGAGGATGGAGTTTTCTGGAGTTCTTTTGAAAATTCGTGACCAGTGGGATCCAAACAGTCAAGTGTGAGGATGGAGTTCCCACCGATGACATTGGTTTGGGTCGTGCTAAATCAGGAATTGGTAGAAGTTAGAATTCATGGGCTGGCCATTTCGGAGTCGGCTCTCAGTGGCTGAATGATATACGAGCTTGCCTTGTAACGGGAAGGTCCTGGGTTCGAACTCCATGTGGTGGGTGCGCACTGCCGATGATTCCAAACTAGGATGAAACAGCTTCCAGTACTCCCTATTGTTCGATGGTTCTGTAACTGATATGTTCCTAGAGGAACATAGGGCTTCAGCTGCACGTCTCCTTTGCGTTCGCTTCTCTGCCAACCTTTTCACCTGGTTCCACGTCTGCCCACATGCTTTCATCTCCTCTTCACATCACCTTCTTCTCCTCCATGTCAACCCACCCTCGCACTGACGACCAACTGATTCGCCAATTCCCATTCGCCTTCCACTTGAGTGATGGCCTGCATTGCGGGTGAAGTCACTCACTTGATGGTTTGTTTTCTCAGAGTATGGACAATCCACCTTTATTTCTTCTTGAATATTTGTTGCACAATTGGTGCCTGCTGGGTTGATTCGCTTCCAGAGATATTAATAAAAACATTGAATTCCGTCGTACTGGCTGAATAGTCGACGAGATCGCATTGTTACTTGAAAGTGATGCATTCCATCCTTAGTACAGTCATGCATGTGTACTGATGAAGAATCTCCCTTTTGGAGAAACTAGTCTAGACATCATTTCCTCATACATTTTATTGAAGATACTCGTGGAAGTCAAAAGAATATATAATTGTTCGATGGACTTAAGTATATGATTAAAATATCTTAATTGTTACCTCAGCAATTTGATATTGCACTTATCGTAGGAAACCCAGTTTACTGGTTACACTAATATGATATACGTATTGAGGGGCATCAATTTACATCATCCAAAGAGACTCCATTTAAGTTATATGTATGATCTTGACAATACATGACTATTTCGATTGGACACTAGTTAGTAACTAATGTCTAATCAAAGTATCTGATACAGTCCTACAGGAGGTCAACAGCGAGTACCAACACCTCAAGAAGGGTAATGTCTCTCAATGTAGGCATTACTGTGTGATATGGGTTCGAATCTCAAAAAGGCATGCGTTCCTTCAAGAATGCAGTTATGCCTTGCTTACTGGTGAGTGTCCACTAGCACGAAACCTAGGTGAAGCAAGGCTTCCTGTGGTCGATTGCCTCCAACCATCTAATATCATCAGCTACATGACTGTGTTACTGTCTAGATTGTCAAACATATTATTTTGTATGCAATGAAACACCTTTAGCTTCATTGACTGACTGAACAGCATGATGACTGGAATTCAAACTAAGACTTGGTCTAAATTGAGATTCGGAAACCTATTATTCTAGAGAAAGAAAAATCAGATTTGCAGTATAAAATGTTATCATTCTATTTCACAGGTTCTCATCAGCTGCAGACTACCTGAAACTACAATGGTTATAAAGATGATAATAACATACTTTAATGTTCAAATTGTTGTTTAATTTATCAAGAGAAATTTCTGAAAAGAGGCCTATTATTTACTTATTAACTACTATATTTACTGATCTACAAGAATTAGTTACTCAAGGAGTCTCGATTTCCATTCACATACCGATCAGGATCATCACACTAGCTGCAAGACTAAAGTTTTATTCCGAGATAGGTTACTAAGGTTTATTGTTGAGACTCCTGACGACGGAAAAATTAAACGTTGATAGTTTAAACCCTGTTACAGCCGAGGCTTTTGTTTCATTAATTAAATAAAGTATGAAATGTGCGATGCTTATGGTGACAGACAATAATGAAATCCCTAGGGAGTTCTACGTTCTGCGACGAATTAAATCATAACAGTAGGACATTTCCATTTTTCATGATCATTACTACAAGCCCCGTCATCCTTTCTCAGGAACAGATTATGGTGTATTAGTTACAGGATTTCGTCATGATTAGCTGACATCGGTTACAGAACCATTGGAAAACCTTCAGGGAGTACTAGATAGCCAGCTGTTTCGCCATCCTAGTTTGGAACTCTTCATCAGTACACACCCACCACAGGAGGTTCGAACCCAGGACCACCCGGTTACAAGGCAAGCTTATAGTGTATTAATTAACTTGGAAATATTTCAAACTGTCTTTAGTTTTCAGAATGTGATATTAAGGCTGTCTTCTTTTTGCAATAATTTTAGCCACCGATGCAGAAACCGACACCACGACCACAATTTCAAGCTCCTGTCTCACCACAACAGCAATACCAACCACCACCATCACCGCTAGTACAACAGCAACAGCAACAGCAGCCACAGTTTCAGCAGCCTAATTCAGCCTTCAGGATGAATGCGCCGGTTAGTGAAAATATAGAATATGCTTACTATACAACTGATAGATTACAAAACTTACAAAGTATAATTTTATATGAATTTTTATTTCTCTCATTGCTTCCTATCTATAACGCTACCTTATAAAACGTTAGTAAGTGAATCAAACCAGTCACTATTTGCAACGTTTAATATCCGTAAACACCATAGTATCAAATCTTTATTTTCAGAGGTGAAGTACTAGCGCGCTTCTTTCAAAATTTTTGAACCCTATGATAGGTTACTCAACTATTAAACAGGTGTGAAGATTATTTAAGACATATTAAATGGAAATTGGCCCTGTTGTGTCGAGTGACAAACATGGTCGCTGTCTTTGTCGTAAACTTAATGTTTACTCAGTCTACGCTGTAGAGTTGAGCCATAGAATTCATGTAGAAAATAATGAGACTTAGACAACCAGTAGATGCCAGTAGTACAGCTCTCTTGAAGTCACAATTTATGAATTTGATTCTGTGGTTCTCTATGAGCCAAACGCTTCTTCGTATTCATCTTCTAAGGCTATTAAACGTCTTATGTGTGAAAGATTAAGTAAAGCGTTAACTGACGACTGAAAACCATTCCAGGACTTCTAAAGACCTTAATGTTGTCGATAAACATATGACAGGTAACGGTAGCAATCAATATTTGGTATCAAGAAAGACGGATGCAACTGGTTTACTGTCAAGTGATAACAGCCGTCTTACACAACATTAGATAAAGGTGCCAAATACGTCCGCTGTACGTTTCTCGACTTCACTTCTGCTTTCGACTCTGTACCTAGATGTCTCTTGCTAAATAAGCTCTCTATGACAAAAACTGAGTCCTGGGTCACTAACTGGTTGCATTCCTACTTCTCTAACAGAAAGCAGTACACCGTATACAAAGGTAAATCCTCCTCTGCTGCGCTCACTGAAGCTGGTGTCCCCCAAGGTGCTGTACTCTCCCCACTTCTCTTTTCTTTCTTTCTACATGACTTACCATCTTCAAATGACATTAATTTTGTCAAATATGCTGACGATCTGACTGTATCTTTGCCTGTCAAATGTCAAAGTGACTGCTCTAAACTTAATGGCTTTCTATCAGAAATCAGCCAGTGGTCCAAGGAAAACGGTCTTACCTTAAACCCCTCCAAATGCCAAACAGTCAATTTCACCTTGAGGCATAAATCCGACCTAAACAAACTGGTTAGCTCTCACGAGGTGTGCAACATAGATGGCACTGAAATAGAAACCAAGTCGGAAATTAAATACCTAGGCGTCATTCTATCTGCTGATCTTTCCTGGTCGTCTCATATCTTGGCGATTTCTAAGAAAATATTCCGTCTTACCTTCTACATCAAGAAGTTAAAACATTCTGGTATAACTCAACCCTTACTCCTACAATTCGTTAACTCTCGCATTCTGTCTATTATTCTCTATTGTTCCCCCTTAGTTTTTCCCGGGCTACTGAAGAAAGACTATAACATATTACGCAGGATGTTAAAGGTTGTCAGCAGGGTAAGCAACGTGCCACTTAACCAGCTTGTTAATATTCTGGTTGACAGGCACATGGACTCATGTGAAAAATGGGCCAAATCCATTTTATCTAACTCACAACTCTCCCCTTGCATCTCATCAGGCAAAACCAGAAGCCTATATAGAAAACTATATGCTCGCACCAGCAAGTACAAAAACTCAACCATACCCTACTTAGCTCGTGTTCTGTGCGATAAAGAAAGCATTAGGCGTGACACCTATAATTCATGAAATAGTCAGTAGAACAACTGGACTTCGTCTTTCCAACTCATATCATTTATAGGTACAACATTTTCTTTCTTTCTTTTCCTTTTCTCTCTCTCTCTTTTTTCCGTTATGTGCTGCTTTGTTTCTTTCTCCCGCTTACGCCAGTAAATATGATAGCACCTACTTTTCTAACACCTTCAAACACTGTTCAACTTTGGCTTTGCTACTGACATGCCAATATGTTGTTGTCATAATGAACTGAGATTTCCTTAATCTATGTAGAATTCTATTTATTGATAATGTACTAACTGGATGCAATACTGTAGTAAAAATGCTGAGAATTCCATTCTGTATCACAAGTACTGTTTTGGAATAAAGCAAATTATTATTATTATTAAAAAAAACACAAAGATAGCCAAAAATGAAATATTTGATCTGTGGTAAGAAATGTAATCAAAATACAACTGGAAATAGAATTTCAATTTCTTCATGAATCAGGATCAGTAAGATTGGCCAACCAAAATTCAGGGAACACTGAACTGCTGTCTCGTCCCATCTTCATAGACTCTTCATCAGCCCGCAGCCACGATCCCACTAAAGATCGAAGCTGTGATGACATGTAACAGTTAAACCAACTCGGATCGCTACAAATACCATACTCTGAAATAGAAGAGTCCCAGCTGTGTTGATGAATTTTCTGTGGAAAAGGCTACAGTCACTAAAAGATGCGTTTGAATATTAATTGTGTCATGAAACACCACCAGTCAGATAGACATTCAACAGCTTTTTCCTACTTAGTTTGTGTCTCATGTCGTCGTAAGGCATGAAGCTAATTTTTATCGAGATACTGTGTTTCAACCAAGTACTGCGTTGTTTACAGTTTTAAAAAGTTTAGCAATTCTTGACGTAGTACTACTAATAATCAATGATGAAATATGCTATGAAATTGATTGTGTTCCCACAGACTGAACCTAAGTAAAAGGCTGATCAAAATGTCTTTGTTTTTCATTATTATTATTATTGTTTCCTTTAATTCCTAGAGGAACATAGGGCTTCAGCCGTGCGTCTCCATTCCGTTCGGTTCTCTGCTAGAGTCTTCACCTGGCTCCAAGTCTGCCCACATGCTTTCATCTCCTCTTCACATCACCTCCTCCAAGTCACCCCACCTTCGCACTCACGACCAACTCGCCACTTCCCTTTCGGGTTCCACTCGAGCAATGGCTTGTCTAGTGATGTCACTTGATGGTTTGTTTCCTCAGAGTATGGTCAGCCAATCCATCTCCATTTCTTCCTGCCTATTTGTTTCACAATCAGTTCCTGCTGTGTTGGTTCGCTCATTGCCAGAGATCTCTGTTGCTGATCTTTTCTGGCCGGCTGGCCATCTGATCTTGAGTATTGAGAGAAGACATCTGTTAATGAAGATCTGTAGTTTGTTTGAGATGCTCTTTATGACGCGCAGTGCAGGTCTCTGATCCGTATAGTGAGTAGCACTGACTTCACATTGGAGTTGAAAATCCGGATCTTATTTTTCACGCCGAGTGCTGTTGACCTCCACACAGACTTGAGAGTAGTGGAAACTTGTCTTGCTTTTCTGATTCTTGCTTTGATATCCTCGTCAGTTCCGTCAGCCTGTAGTTGAAACGATGCTTCCCAGGTAGGTAGGTGGTAGAGGAGGTTGTTTCTTTCATGTTCCTCCCATTTATGCTAGCTGATTGTTGTCTGTTGTTGCTGTTGGTGGTGTTGCCCAGGAATTTTCATCACCTCCGCTTTCTCTATATTCACCTGAAGGAAGGCCTATCTTTGATGCTTCTTCTGTCAACTTGTTGCTTTTCACTTGCATAGCTTCCAGTTTGTGGGAAATCAGACATATACTGTGGTAGAATTGATATAAAATTGATATACAATTAATGTAGTAAACTACTTTCTAATCACTTAACTCTACCGTTTCGCGATACATTTCCGCCATAGACTCAACGTCCAAATCAGGCTTCACCAACGGTACCAGTGTCACAACCATTATCAATCAATCCACCTGGACTAGTACAACATCAACAACAACAGCCAACAATGGTATCACCAATGAATGCTGCATCGCCTGCACAACCAACGCCACCACCACTTGCTAACCATTCGCCAGCTACTCCGGTGGCTCCAGCGGCAAGTGCTCCTCCACCACCACCGCCGCCACCGCCTCTTGCTACACCACCTGTGATGAATTCGGTAAGTTTTTTATAAGAAATTTAAAATGCCTTATTCACATTTTTTGTCTACAACTCGCCCCTAAGAAAGACGTGTACATCAAGCTACCCTATATGGGGCATCATAGCAGCTTGATAACTAGACAAAGATTGAACGCTGCTGTTAAAAAGACTTTTTATGCAGCTAATAATCATAATAATTGCAGAATGTGAAGCCAATATATCCATCCATCTAAGCCCTTTGAACATGCGAAAAATGATGTCACATCCACTGTATTAACCAATTTGAATATACGTGTGGACACACTTACATAGGGAGGACTCATCGATCTCTGCAAGTAAGGGCTGGCTTCAGAGCATATTCCTAAATGGTTCCAGAAACAAATGGAATCTTAAGAACTCATTAATGGTGAGAACTGGAGACCTAGCTCTTCTATTGCGAAACATATTATAGAGACAGGACATAAAATTGACTTTAACAGATCTTTTGAACCTTTCTATCTATGAAACGTGTTTGGGTCGTATCCTAAAGTTTTTGGAAACCGTAGCTGGCAGTTAGAAAGTTTAAACCACCTTTATGCGTTCAAAACAATTCGTCATCACATTAAACCTTCCTTGGTAAATTTCGTTTTGATACCATAGCAGATGAACTATTACCTCTGTTATTTGGTTTAGTGGTGTTCATTGTTATTTTGACCTTCAATACATCCTTTTAACTTGACCTAAGTCTATTTTCTCACCTCTTACCTATTTATTAACTTCATATATATTCCTATGACAAGTCCGCGCAAATACATTAAACGATTCAGACAAATTACGTCTTCTTATTGCTTTATCTAAATTCATAAAGGGAACTAATTGTTTTGAAAATATATGTGTTAATGCAGTTTACACGGGTGTATGTGTTTGCGTGTGTGGATTCACAGTCATAAAGCATTTGTTAGTCTCTCTATAAGAAGATATAGACAATCGGGAATTTTGACCAAGTATGATTAATTATTGATACATATCCATTGTTTATTTATTAATCAGGATTTGCCAAGCATCAGCTAACATCACTTCTTCACGTCTGTTCACACTGTTGAGATTCACCTATATGTGTAGGGCTTCTGCAGTCAGTCTTTCTTTATACGAACCAAACAACATAAATTGTTCTTCAATGAGTGCAAGTGATCCTATAGGAAACTTCAGAACAACACATTTAAGCGAACAGTGATATTGTGATTTCAATTAGGTCTCGTCAGGTGTAATCAGATACCCCGTTGTCACATTTCTTTGTTATTTAATCATTCCTCGCTAGTCATTTGATATTCAGTATGGAACCAGGGCACAGCGGTTAGGACGCTCGCCGACCATGCACATGGTCCGGGGTTCGATCCCCGGCCGATGCACTCCTTTACCTCGCTAAGCCAGTAATAAAGCCGGTAAAGAGGGAAGGTTGGGCATGAGGCCAGCCGCTAGCTTGAAGCCCAATGTTCCACTGGGAATGTGAAGGAATAGAAAAAAAAATGGAACCAGGGAAGTCGACTGATGATGAAATTGTCAAGTAGGCTCTTGTGGATGCTCTTCTTGATGTGCTAGATCTCTAAGCAATATCGAAGAGCTGATTTGATATTAGTGTTGAAAGTCTCTAGTTGGGAAAATACTGGTTAGATTAGTGAAAAATGACTGTCTGTTATCACCCACGATGATATTCCTAATTGTGGTGGACTGGATTGTGCAACAGACCGCACGTGGGAAGTGAGAAGATAGAAATATGCTGGACTTGCTGATAAGAAGACTCTATAAGATCTGGATTTTGCTTATGACTTATGTCTAATAGCGAACAAACCCCATGACTTACAGGTGAAAACGAGCAAACTGGCTGAAGAAGCACCGCAGACATGACTCCAGATGAACATATATAAGGCGGAGTTGATGACGATAATCAACCCACCAACTAACAACAACAACAACTAACACCAGTCACCATCAACGGGAGAAATTTCAAAGAGATGACTTCCTTCATTATCTGAAGAGCACAGTTTCAACCACAGGCGGCACACGACACGGATGAAGATGTCAAAGCTCGCCATAATTGGAGAGGCAAGACAGACTTTCATCACTCTGAAATCAGTTTGGAAATCTCCCTCACTCCGCCTCAACATTAACAACAAGATTCGGATTTTCAACACAAATGTGAAATCAGTCAGAAACTTGTACTGTGCGTCACGAAAAGCATTTCGAACAGGCAGCTTCCACTCCATACTGATGATGAAATGCCTAGTCAGAAAGAATTATCAACCAACCTATCGTTTAACAGATATTTAAGAGAAAATGGAGATTACTATTGGGTATACACCACTGAGGAGGCCGTCGAATAACATCGCGCTCAATGCAGGCCGCCATTCGAGTGGAATCTGATTGGGAATTGAAAAGTTGGGCTTGCCTCCGAAAGCGATATGGAGGAGATGAGAGATTCTGACCAATCTTGGGTCCAGTTGAAGAAGTCAGGACCAAAAATAGAAGAAAGTGGAGATGTGTTATTGAAGCACTATGTTCTTTTCGGAACCCAAGGGAATAATAATGATAATAATAACAACAATAATTCAGAACTCTGATATACTGCAAAAGTTTGTAAATAAGTTCGGCGAAGTTTCACCTTTGTAGAAGTCGAAATGAGAGGAGGCTATTCTTTCAAACCAGGATAGGAACTACTTCACACACACTAGACACTTACAGCAGTAAAAATGTATTGCAAATTTACAAAAAGATCTTAGTGATTAGGCATTATTATGAACATCATATGGACAATCAACACCAAGAAACTGATTGCACAGAATTCCCGACCCCCCCGCTCCGCTGCCTACCCCCTTCACACACACACACACCTTTTTAATTCATTCTATAGCATTACTTTTTTATAAAATCCTTTCTAGTAATAATGAACAGAAAGCCATTTTACTCCACTTTTGTAAAAAAGCTCTAATGATTTGTTAACGCGAATTTTCTCTATTATTATTATTGTTATTCAAGTCATCGGATTCACAGGTTATACCACAAGAGTAAGTGATAGATACATATACCAGTATACAATATAGAGTGTGGAGTGCAGTGGCGTGTAGTGCTGTGTATATATTATATATGTATTTAGATTAGACCGTAGTTTTTCACTTTACTATCATCCTTTCATTTCTTTATATAGTGATATATATAATTTATTTTACACAACACTTTATTAAAGGTCATTGTTTAGATTCATTATATAATGCATTAATCTCTGTGTGTGTGTTTGTGTTCGTGTTCGTGTGCGTGTTGTGTGAGTGATTTCTAGTTTTCGATCTTTCTAACTGTTTGGTACACTGTCGGTATTGGAAACATTTATTTCCCGATACGAATTTAAAACAAGCAATAAAGGTTAATAAAGCAGGATTTAATGAATTCATCAAATTTCGGTAGAACTCTTCTTCAGCTGAATACTCTACATACACGGATATATATACTTTTGAAATTACATTGGGAGATATAGGACTGATAAGTAAATAAACTACATTGAATTAGTCATGCAGAAAGACAGGTGCGAATGTTTTTCCAGGTCATGTTCAATTAGATAAGGGGAGAGAGAGTATGGGAGATCAAAATTAAGATAAATTGCATTACGCTTCAATTACATCACTTAGATAAACAATTAGACATTAGAGAATTTAACAAGAATTGCAACCAGAGGGATGTCAATAGTAATAGTTATAATAACAATAATAATAATAGTGTTGAAGTGAGTTAAGATAATGCTACTGATAAAGGATAGTTTTAAATGAATCAAGAATAATAATAATGAGAATAATAATAGTAATAATAAAATAATAATAAGAGGTAGAATTATAAGTAAAACGTATTACCATGGTAGATTCAGAGTCACGACCATCTCCTTTTGTACACAGAGACCTGGTTTGTAAACTCGAATTGCACAAGCCTCTGCAATTGCAAGCATCTTCTTGTTTCTTTGTCTGCTGACAATGGTGAATGACTTGACCACATCGATATCATGTCCGTAGTCCACAAGATGCTTTGTTATTGAGGATTTTGGCACGTTGCACTCAGCTGTTTTCAACCATTTTGGCAAATGCTCCATCATGCGAGTAGACAATCGCCTTTCCGTACGACCTATGTATTTGCTTCCACAAACACACTCAAATTGATATACGCAGTTTGAAGTGTCGAGGATTGTCGACTGGTCTTTCCCAGATTGTTGAAGCACTCGCTTAGTGGTGTTAAGGAAAACAAGTTTTGCAGCATAATAAGTTCTCTTGATGGCTTTGTCGAGTCTTCGTTTGACTACTTCCTGTACATCATCTTCTTTTGAACGGCAAGCTGATATAGACAGGTTTCTTCGGAACTGTTTGGATTGTTTTGCAGCGGGTGTTTTCTTCAGAGTATTTATTAATGAACTTCTCAGGATATCCATTCTTAGATAAGATATCCTTCAGGGATTTTATTTCATACTCAACAGTACTGTCAGAACAAATTTTCCGTGCTCTATTGAACAGTGTTCTGACTAAGTTCTTTTTATACCGGATTGGAACAAGACTCTTGAAATGCATGTACTGTCCTGTCCATGAGGACTTTCTAAATATAGATCTTTCGACTGTGCCATCATTCATTTTCGCCAGAAAAACGTCTAGGAATTTGATAGTATCATTTTCCTCGTGTTCTACTGTGAAACTGAGATTTGGATGGCATGAGTTGAATTTTATCAGCATGTCTTCGGCTTTTGATTTGCTTCCACAGGCAATAAAAATGTCATCAACATATCTAAGGTATAGATCCGTTTGTTGTATATGTTGTTGCAGGGTATCGGTTTCTAGGCGTGACAAGAATAAGTCAGCGAAAAGTGGTAATGTAATTTCAAAAGTATATATCCGTGTATGTAGAGTATTCAGCTGAAGAAGAGTTCTACCGAAATTTGATGAATTCATTAAATCCTGCTTTATTAACCTTTATTGCTTGTTTTAAACACTGTCGGTACTTTATTGCATGTGTATG